TGGAGCCTCCCATCTACTTGAATCTTGAAGATGTTGAGTAGACTTCTTGTCTCAAGACCCCCAAACCCTACCCTACTACAGATGCTGCAAAGCCTAAGTCCTTTAAGTAGGATTGGCACAAGGTGTTTTTCAGCTTGTCCAGGTCTTTTCTTTGCAACAAAGTATCTTTTTCATAGGTACGACATGAGAACGCTCCCTTCTTCAGCCACTCATCCTCTGGGTGGCTGCCAGCGGGAGGTGGAATTTCAGAATCCCATCGTTGGGAGTCCTGCAGAGCCTGACGAAACATCAGATCCCTCCTCCGCATCATTTCTTCCCGCACGGCTTTGCGGCAGAACCTGTGCGAAAACCCGCGAAAACGTGAGCGGCCGCACGTGTGCGCCTTGGCGCTCTTGGCATGCGCAGGTTCACCCTGCTGGCGCGGGTCATTGCTTTGCCGGGCGCCTTGCTGGGATTCGTGATCTTTTGGAGCACCCTGCCACTGCACCCTGGTGCGAACCAGAGGGTTGGGCTCGTGGGCAGGCCGGCGTGGTTGGTTTTTTTCTTTCCACGCCTGGGTTTTTCTTCGTTTCCATCCTTCAAGGTTCCAGTGCGTCAGTTGGTGTCGTAACCATTATATAGATAATAGGTGCCCTTATGTTGGCCTTTGCAACCATGTGCTGGCCTGCTGGGGCCATGGGATGGAGTGGTTCAGAATCCACCAGAATCCACCCCATAGTTCCTGGTAGGTGGAATGAGATTCAAATTCAGTGGTTTTCGGAGAACATGAGGGCCGCGCGCTGAGCTGCTACTGCTCAGGTGGCTGGTGTGTGGGCTCGGGGGCCTGCTGTCGGTGCTGCTGTTGCTCTTCGCCACTCGGCGCTGAAAAAAACGCTCGGCGAAGGGTCCAAAGGGTTTAGGGACGCAGCCTCTGTCATTCTCAGTCCATCTTTGTCCACCTACAGTTCCTTTGAAGCAATAGGTAGGCATTTGCCAATGGGTCAGGGAGAAATTTTACTAGTAACAGTATATGTGATATCACTATATTTGATGCTGGCGTGGGTGTATGAACGTAGGCAGATCACGTGATGCGTTTGTTGTTTGGTAGCCAGAAAGTAGACAGTAAGGCTTAGGTGACGTCATATTTGTCCTTTTCATATGCTTGAGCAAACATGTATCCTCCTGACTGGCTTTCCAAACAAAAAAGCCGGTTGAATCCATCCTGCTGAGCTGGTCGCCCATGTATCCTGCGTGCTTGAACAAGTGCTACTGGCTTCTTTGTTGCCACCCAGGGCCCAGCATTAAAAAAAACCTCCATGAATTTATTCTCCAAAGGTACGAATCACATAGATGACACTTTTCCTTTCCCACTTGTTGTTGTTATTGTGGAGTTTCGACCGTCCTCAGACTCGGAACCCGATGTTCAGATTGACAGGTGGGTTGCGCTTGGTGCTCCACCACCGCTCCCTGTGTTTGCGCCTTATGCTGCTCCTTGGGCACCGACAAGTCAGGGGCGTCGCCATCTTGACCTGAGCTAGACCTGCTTGGCCAACACCTGGAAGAATGGGCCTCATTTTCAATAGGGAGACACCCAACGAATGGGTTTTGGTTCTTTTTCCTTATTCCAGGGTTCTTTGGGAGGTCTTCCTTTTAGATCCTTTTGGAATGCACCAAATGGTACCTGCTGGGTGTTTGATAGTCACCGGGTACCTACCTTTGATTCAACTGGTGCAAAGACCTGGTGCTCCAGCCCACTCTTCATACACTTATTCATTTGTGCCGAGGCTGTGGGATGACAGATGCTCAGGCAGAGCTCATCCTTTGTGCCATCCTTAGGATCACCGCGTCCGAACCCATCTGACCGCCAGCAAAAAGAAAGGAACGTGTAAGCAAGCTTCCTTTCATGGTCAGTGTTTTTCATTTTGATGGGGCGCCTTCTGTGTAAGACAGAGGAGGAGTATCAAGAAGCCCCGGTGTTTGAAGAGAACCGTCAGATTTCGTGATGCCATGTTTGGCTGCAGGATTTGTCCAGGACGAAGTCAAACTAAGGATTACAGTATATTTGGTTTTCCTGTGCCTGCAGCAACCTCAGAAAGCACGTTAGCATGAACTTTCATTGAAATGGATAGACGTGGAACAGACCCAGATAGAGGATAGATAGACCTTTTTGCCGAACCTTCCCCACAACGAGCGACCTTGACAGGTACAGATTCAGTAATCCTAGACACACTGATGAACGTAGTTGATTTATGTTGGTTTATATATTCTTTGCAGCTTCCAGGTCGCCCGAGCTGGTCCCCGAGCTCCAAGCATGTTTTGGTTCGAGGCACTGCAACGGGGCACCTGTAGGTTTGTTGTCGCGTTCAGGGCCGTTCCTTGGCCCTGACCGGCCCTCCTCGGAGCCCGACCGGCGCTTTGGCACCCGCGCCGCAGCCCTGCACCGCCCAGGTGCCCCCTGCCACTCGTGCTGGGCCTCTGTGGAGTGTTTGCTGGGTGGCTTGGAGCCAGAGCCCTGAGAGAACGCCATGCGAGCGAAGCTCGGACGAAGCACCCACCGGTGGGGTTCACTCCACCGGTGGATCTGTCAGACATGGATGGACTCATATGGAGCACACCACGCACGCACGCACGCACGCACACAGACACATAGATATACGGCGACGGTATATATATATATATGTTTACCTAATGCATGTCTACCTAATGGTTTTTAGGGTACCTGAGAGGGAACTTCCTTTACTCCACCAAGGAAAAATATAGCCATTGGACTTCTTAGGTACATATATAATTACTGTATATATAATAGTTATACATTATGTGCACGCGTCTACCTAGAATGACTTCCAAGTTAGCCCACCGCCACAGAGTGGCAACCCAATGGTTTTTGAAGATGAACACAGCTGCACCTGCTGCTCACCAAATCCATCCAAATCCTCATTGGTCAGTCCGTTCTGCCAGCGCCACCCTGAAATCAAGGAAGTGCACATGTGAGGCCAACTTGGAAGCTTACGGATGATGTAACCACGAGACTTGTTGATCCTCAAAGCCCTTTTCAGTTCATTTTTTTTTGTGTAGAGTGGGTTGAGAGTAGATGGCACAATCCCCCAAAGGTGGTTTATATGGACCCCTATATAAAAGACATCTTGGGGTTTGTGCCATCTACTCTGAAACCACCGTAATTTTACTTGCAACTGGAAGTCTGAAAAGTGGATAGCTTACCTCGACAAAGCGTTCGCTTGGGGATGTTTCGGCATCAGATGCCAGAGAACTGCAGCATGTCCAGGGAAGTGAGATGGGACGTGGATGTAAGTTCACCTCGCAGGTGTCCAAGTTTACCTACAACCTCACGGACCTGTATAGCTATCCCGCATTGGCATCCCCACATTCAGATGGAATGGGGATGGCATGGCCCCAAGGGGTGCAAACAGACATATCCGCCGACCTGCTGCAGCATGCTCTTCAGCACGAATTCGCGTGAACGGCGAAGCCAGTCCACGCGGAGAAAGCGCAGCGGATGGGAGCTCCCCCGCTGTAGTGGATGAGATCCCCAGGAACTTCGGCAGAGTGGTGATGTGACACCTGTCTTGACGGCCGCCCGTTGGGCGAGAACGGCCGGGCTCCCCACATGCGAACGGCCCGGAGTGCCCAGGAGGATTTGGAAAGATTTTCACCTGTGAAATTATCAACACATGCCACCCCACCAGTCACAGTAATTCCTGAACACTAAGAGCTGAAACTCTGAAACTAGGGTACTTCTACCAGAAGACCTGTTCGATTGTTTCAGCCCCACATGAGGGTTGCCTCCTCCCTTCGCTGGGCCGAAGTTCTGGAGGACTCTCTATTCGGTCGGATCGTGCATGGCTCCGCACAGTGACCGCCACGCACGCATCATTTTATTGGCCGGGCGGCCAGGCCCGAAGATGGCAGAATGGAATCATCCATGATCATGCCATGTAATGATAGACTCTTGATTAATAACCCCCCTCTCAATATGAACAGGTTTTACCATCCAAGTCTTATCAAGAGTCAATTTTTTTCATTTTTTTGTCAGGCCGGGTATGTTTTGACAAAAGAAGCTATTGACTCTTGATGAGACTTGGATGGTAAAGCCTATTCATATTGAGAGAGTGTTATGTTTCATCTCACAACTGTGTTTCCATACCAGAGGTAGATCGAGTCTCCTCTTCATCCGACTCGAGTCTCCTTATCTCGTTACGAAACCAAGTCACCCATCTTCATCGGACCCGGAATCGGAGCTTGGACCAACCCTAATTGGTGCTTGGAGTCGTTTTTTTGGGGGAGTAGGATGAAGTGGGTTTGCCGGTTTGTCTAGCAGTCGAGCCATGTCGAGCCTTACCCACATCGTCACATCGTGTTACATGGTTTGATGAAATGACGCACTCCTCAGTCGTAGTCTGGCATGTGGCGGATCCCAGGTTAGAAGAAAGTGGATTGGATCATTGGACTTGACCTGTTGTTTGTGAACCTGCCAAATCTTCTTGATGGCTTGAGTGGGCCAGTGGCCTTGTGCAGCGTGAGGGGACATTTTTGAGCAGACAAGCAAGCAAGCAAAAAAATCAAAAGGCAACTCGCATTCTGGTTGGTGTCCGGGCGATGGGCCCTGCTCCCACACAGGGTCGGAACAATCCATTGATGTGCTTCGTCGGACAGGCGGTTGTTGAAGCAAGAAGCAATCTGAACCATGGCAGGCTAGGTAAGGACACTGCCAACCTTCACACGCGTAAAGTCAATGTTCACTTGTTTGAGTGTGTTTTTTTTGGTTGGCTTCAACTTTTGGTTGGCTTCAACCCTAGAGCAGTCCAAATGTAGACAGTCCAATCGCCTCTTCAACGCTTTGCCTGGGACCTTTTCTGGTCACTATTTCGTGTGAGAGAGATGCCCTAATGGATAGCTCACTCTGGGGCTTGTGAGACCTCTATCAACCAGCTCAGGTCCACCAGTAAGGCCCAGTACGGGCCTTGTGAGGTTTGTTCACCGCTTCGGGCGTGGCACGTGGCCAGGTCACGCTGGAGAGGGCCCAGTGGCTCGAAGATGGTGGGCTTTTGGAATCCGAATCCTCTGCTGAGGCCGGACCGGCAAGCTTTTGAGTCGAAGGTTGGCTGACGCGACCATCCAGAAATCTTTTGGGGGGGTCCCGGGTCCAGGATCGTGAACTTGAGGATAGATTAGATGCATAGACGACGATATATCTGATTCGTTTGCCGAGTGAATTGAGTGAATCCCATCTATCTCAGCATCGAAACTGGGCGAGAACTTGCGGACGCCGCACGCGTCGGCCGGTTTTTTTCCCGCGAATCCGTGGAACTTGCTGAGGCGAAGTCTGAGATCAGGCGGGTTCACGACGGAGAAGGGTGGAGATCGGGGGGGCCGAGTGAGGAGATGCTATGAAAAACAAGCTGCAAATGCACATATCTGTATTTTTCTTTAATGTCGCATGTATAACAGATATGATGTATCTGTATATATGTGTGTCTAGACAGATAAACTAGTTACATCCATGATTGTTAGAAGATGGCAGCATCGGAACTTCGATTTTCCAAGATTTCAGATTTCGTCCTAGATGAATTGTAGCTTCAGGTCCAGATTTGTACCAAGTACTATAAGTTCTAAGATCGATCTTGTTGGAGAGTCGTGTCTTGATAGACCGGACAGAGTGGCATCTTTTTTTTGCTTGCTTAGCCTTCCCTAACCCCGAAACTGCTAGGGTAAATGCCAACGGCCAGAATCCCATTGACCGGCTTAGGAAGAGCCCTCTCCATTTCAATACATCGTTCTTTCCTTCACCCAAAAGTGTACTTTCCAAAAGTAACATGTATGAAGTTCTGTATATTGCCCACCCGATGTCGATCGATTTCGAATGGCTGGTTTATTGGTGCAAGACTTTTTTGGCGATTCGCTGTTTGTTCGTTTCATTAGAGCCAGACTCAGAATGCCCTGAGTCTGGTTTGTAGGGAACTGACGTCCACGTCTCCTAGTCATGCGACATTCTTCCACATCAGTGCCTCGAGCCAGGAACTTCAAGGCCGGCGTGCTGCTCGGCGTTGAAAACAGTTGAAGACAACTTCCTGGGACTTACCTTTAGTACCGCAAGCCGCCGGGCTCGTCTTGGTAGAGGGCCATCATGTTTTCAGTTCTGTTTCATTGTTTCCAAACGCCGGAGAGAGAGAGAGAGAGAGAGGCACCCAATTCACTTGGGGAGTGGTGTTTCGCCCACCACATTCCAAAGCTTTGAGCCTTCGGATTTCGTGCCCCATCCGACGCGACGCTTTCAGCGCAGAAAGCACGGATGTCTCGCCTTCTTCCGACCCTGGCGGCGCTTCCGCCCGGGGGGCGGTTCGCCTAGGAATGGCGCGCGCGTGGGCTTCTTGACGAAGGAGGGCCTCTTGTCGGCTCTCAAGGAGCTGGGCCTGGCAGCCATCGGCAATGCTGAGGAGGCCGGAGCCGTGCGAACGCGCAGAGCGACTGTTGGAGCAGAGTTGAGTGAAGAACATGGGAAGCTCTCGGAACAGTTGGAGATAGTGGGAGAACCCTTGAACACCATGTAAGAGATGTAAGCCCAGTATGTAACCACATGGGAAAGCCAGTGAGTTGGCTGGAGCCAACTGAATTCACTGACCTTCGGTTCATTTTCCTCTTGTCCTGCCTGCCTCGGATCGCGCCCCCGCTCCGCCCGCGCCAGGCCTCGGATCTCACCCGGAAGCTGATCGTCGCGAAGAAGGCGCGGGAAGCGAGCTCCGAGAGGAGGTCGGTGACCTCCCCCGAGTGTTTTTGAGATTGGTAGCCCACAGCCTCACACACACAAGCCTTATATATAGGTGAAGCCTTTCAGCAGCTTCCAGGGACTCAAGTCGCCAAAGAAGTCAGACACTTTCGTGTTTAGCCTTGGGACTTCTAGATTGAGAACGCACATTTCTCGGCCACTGAGGTTCACATCTTCCGACATTTGTCGAGTGAACAGATCACCAAGCTGGTCCAATCCTTCGTGCTGCAGCGCTACCGGAAAGGCCCCACCCTGTGAGCACTTGCGTCATCCGAGATCTAAGGGTATTTCTCGGACTTGGGAGGATGGGAGGATGGGGAGGGAGATCTGAACATCCCGATGTTTGATCCACCTCACTTATGTGCGATCTACCATAGTCCACTCACGGGGGAGGCACCCAACTCCCCTCATCCAAGTCCATCTCTCCTCACCCCATAAGAGGGCGGGGAGGGGGCTGAGCAAAAGATGTTGAAACCATGTGCCTCCAAGTAGCCCTCATCATGAGTATCATGAAATTCCCCGACCGTCACGCATAGTCACCAGGTGAGTCCTGATTCTCCACAGAAACACGATCGGGTGAGCTCGCATGCAAAAGGACACAGTTGGAGGTGAGGCGAGTGCTTCACCTGAAGCAGATGCCAGGTGCTCATGTCATCAAGCAGGGTGAAGTGGGCTCCTCATTCTTTGCTGGGAGACCCAGGTCTGACTGGTCCTGGACAGGTCTGAAGGCAGACAGGTCCGGGGAGAGCAGACGTTTTTCGTTCAGGACGACGTTCGGTTCTGAGTTCTAAGCATTGCGGAGTTCATGAGAACGAAGACGGGGAGTCAACCACGTCTATTTCGACGTATTTTGGGTCGCCACGCGCCGAGCTGAAGTCACCTGAGTTGGGCATCAGGTGGTATGCCCTGCCCGGGGATCACTGCATGCCAACTCTCCCCCGAACCAGTAGACGAAAAATAAAAAAGTCGGCGATTCGCGCTCTTGGTTTTCTGTCTTCGGAAGTACTCTTCTGCATGAACACCTGCAGATCCAATCCCATTCTAGCTGATCATCTACCAAAGCAGCAGTTTCTTTTGCAGGCAGCCAAGGGGTTGGTTTTGGGTGGTCTTTGTTCATTCCCAAAATCACATCGCGCCCATTTGCAGGTCTGTTGATCAATGGTGTTGTCTTATTTGGAAAGTGAGGCAGTCAGAGTCAGAGAGGAGAATTTCTAGAGCTCCCTCTGATTGTGACATGCGCATGGTCCGCATGGTCATGGTTCCCTGCGGCTGCACCCAGGTCATCGCTAGTGGAGATGTGAAGGTGGAGATCAACGGGAAGTTCATCCGCAGCTGGGCGCTGTTAGTTGTTCATCCTATTCTTTAGGTGTTCCCTTTTCAGTTTTGATATCAGTGGGGAAATACATGATAAATACTCTCCCTGAAACATCCTGGAAACAACATGGTAGTGGAAAACCACCTGTTTGTAGAGGACCATGGTCTTCCAAGGGGTCGCATTTCATGTTTTTGTTCTTCCTCCAGGAGTGTAGCATTTTTTCTGCGATTGCCGCACAGGCGGCAGCGAACAGTTGCAAACAAGTTTTGAGGGTGGACGCCTTCTCTTTTGGCGGGTGTTGGAACTTGTGGAAGAATAGATGGACCAGAATAGATGGACCGATTGGATAGCTGCCTTGGCTACGGGGCTATTTTTCCAGCAGAACCTCGAGGATACATGCCGACCAACTCAGATGGACCCACATACTCTTCAGAGCCTCTGGGCCCATATAGGCCAATAAATAAAACCTTGTGCTTATCGGCCATATAGGCCAGATAGACCCATATAGACCCATCCGCCTTCTCCGCCATGATCCGCCAGTGATCCGTTCCGCACCCAGGAACCATGACCAAGAACTCCTACTTCGGCGAGCGTGCCCTGCTCTTCGATGAGCCTCGCACCGCCACGGTCGAGGTCTCTTCACCGGAGGCAGAGCTTTGGTCCATCGAGCCACGAAGCCGCACTGGGGAAGCCGTTTTCACATGTTTTCGCTCCTTCTCGGCCGTGGATTCAGAGCCGAGAAGGGGGGTTCGGGGTCGGATCTAGCGAATCTGAGCGCCTATGCCTATGCTATATGTTTTTCCGAACTGGCATGAGGAGGCGCTTGATCCATCAACAGGCCTCAAAAAATCCTTTGGCAATTGGATGCAATTGGATATTTGAAGGCATTTCCAACGTATTTTTATGATAATTAATTGGGGGGGCCCTCGCTGGAGTTCGCAGAGTCCCAGAATTCATTAACTTGAGTCTTTGAGGGACTGAGACTTATGTTTTGCTCTTGGGTCACAAGCAACACCATCAACACTGAAAGCAATTCTGAATTCAAAAAAAACTTCAAAAGAACATTGGGAGGACCCCTCACAGGGAGGACCCCTCATGTTGAACACTTGGAAGTACAAAACAGTTTTCCCAACTGCCCCAAAGCTCCCGCGAGAACCGACCGACCCAGGAAATCCACCTTCTCGTCGATCGTGAAGGGCTGCTTGCTTGCAGTGGTTTAGCAAAAACGAGGAGACACTCCCACCACGGCATTTTTTAAAAAATACAATAATGTAGAATGTAAATTTTCGAAAAATCATTAGAATCACTTTGTTTGTTTGTTTGTCTGTCCAGTATATATAATATATATATATATTATCTATTCTAATCTATATAATCTATTTATCTATATTCTTTCTTTTTTGTATTTCTTTCATTCTTATTTTTACCTTACCCATCCAATCTAATCTAATCTTGGCTTATTTTATCTACCTTATCTATTTTATCTATTTTTCCTATCTTATCTTACCAATTTTAGCTTATCGCATCTATGTTATCTAGGACCTATTTTATCCTATCCTATCCTATCTATCAACCTACTTATTTTTAAATGATCTTATCTGATCTGAATTGATCTATATAATCAAATCTAATCTTATTTTTATTTGACCTAATCCTTTGTATCTATCTACCTATCTTTCTTGCTTTCTTTCTATTCTACGCAATGCTATGCTATTCTATGCTATGCTATGCTATTCGATCCATCGGTCCATCCATCCATCCGTCCGTCCGTCCGTCCGTCCGTCCATCTATCTCCTTATCTAATGTGTCTATCTACCTATTTAATCTATCTAATAAATTAATCTATCTATGTATCTATATCTATCTATCTAACTACCTAGATCTATATATGAACATATCATTCTACCCCAAGACGTGTGTACGTGGGGGTGGGTGTTCTCTCTTTTTGGGGGGGGGCGTGGTGCATGTGTTGAGGAAGAGATATGTGACATCCCGCACATTCACAACCAATGGCAATACAGAATGTGGGTCTCGCCGCAAACCTGTGGTGGCTCTCCAAAACATATGCGGGTACGAAAATAGGAGACCTCTGAAAGACCCCTCTGGAAGAACGACAAATAGACCAAACACACATGTCTTTGGGCCCAAGCAATACACATCCAGCAACACAAACCAATTTTCCTGCATGTAATAACTGGACCCGCAACAAGATCACAAGATCGACGCGAAACCAGGCAAGATGCAACAAGAGCTGATGCATCGTATTCGCCTGTGACTTGGCAGAACGGAAACTGTAGCCGTTGACGATCCGGAGTGCCTAGGACATCCAGGTGCAAGTTGCATGTTCTCCCTCCCACGGAGGGTAATGAAATCTCTTCGCGTTTGGCCCCATGTCCCTCGTCTCCGTGTCCTGGGTCAGGGATTTAGCTGGGGCATGGCAAACAGCTCAAGACATGAAAGACATGAATTCCCTGTCATCTTCACCTTTTCAAAGGACTGTTCAACTGGACGTCTGCCTTGAAACCATGGTCCATTCCACGAATGTCAGTGATCGATTTACCTCAGGCAAGATACTGACTTCACCATGAAGGACTGCCAGATCGGTTTGATGGGGCTGGAGAGTGGCACCCCATTCCCTCAGGTTGCTTCACCCAAATCGGACCGGTGGAGGTCTGCCCCATGTTTCTCTCAGCCCGAGGGCGTCCTGCTATGATCAGAACGGGTTTGTGCCACGTCCTATGATCAGAACATCTCACACATCCTGCCATTGCATGAGAGGTGGACCGAAGAAACCGAGAGGTGGCCGTATCGATGTCCGAGTCATTGCGTCAGGACCTCAAGACAGTCCGAGTCATTGGGGCAGGAGCAGCAGGCGTAGTGCGGCTGGTGATGAACAAGAAGACAGGCGCAGTCGCGCTGTCGCGCTGTCGCGTCCGGTGCGATGTTCTCAGAGTGAGAGATGGGAACCTCAGATGTGTCGGGTGAGGCGAAATGTAAGCATCAAGAAGTCGAGAGCACGCAACGAGCTGGCGCAAACGAACAGGAGCCTAGGCTCCTTTTTGGAGCGGTATCCTTTTGTCAGTGCAAAGCTCATGTCCCTTCATGCCCGCCTTTCCTGGAGCTGGTCTGTCTTTGTTGTCCAAAGGATTCGGCGACTTTAGTGCTAAAGCGTAGGCTTCCCTCAAGGCCTTGGATTTATTTGCTATATTATATAGGCTAAAAACGCTCGTTGAACTCCGATGAAATGCGATGTAAGAACCCCCGCAACATCCTACAAGGTCCTACAAAAATCAACAACATAAGACCAAGAGCCTAACATGTTCACCTCGCCTTTTCTTGAAGCGGGGCACTGTGTGTTCCAGCAGAGCTCTTCAAAGTATCAATGATCAGATCAGTTCAGTTGGTATATGTATATGTGTGCATGCAACTCTTTCCCACCATCTGAGGGAAACAATTGTGAGCCCGTCAGTTTCCACTCGACCACCAGCTGGCTGACATGCCACCAAAGGCAAGAAAAGCATAGAGAAGCCCAAACAAACATCCTGGAATGAATGATGCCATGCTCCAGGTCGTGTTAGGGTTATTTGTTTTGTCACACCCACTGGCTGCAGGCATGAGGCGCCTTGGCCAGATTCGGGGCTCGCGTGTTGCGGTTCTCTAGAAAACCGAAAGAGCACCGCAACATAAGATTTTGGGCAGGATCTGCAGGACATCCCTGACTCGGGAATATCCAAGGTCCTTGGCTAAAGCAGAGCGTTCCGCCTATAGAGAAAACCGACGTCATCGTCTGGACCACCCGGTGACGACGACGACGTTTGGACCACCCGCCGGGTGGCGCAGCGGAACACGCGGAATCGGCAGCGGAACGAGCTGAAGTATTTACTGTAGGTTGTTTGTCCCCGAACCCACCAAAACCGATGTGCTGCGAGGCAATCCACGGCACGTGTGTTTGTTCTTCTTTGGGCGTTCAGAAGCCAATGCAATTCTGTGCCAGAACCCTGTAGCCGCGTAGCCTGACATGAGGCTAGTTGGGAGCGAACAAGCTCGCTGGGCGACCTGTTGGACGGTAGTAGGAGCGAAGGCAGACGGCATAGTCTGTCCTGGCCTCTCTCTAACAGGGATATACAGTATTGAGTTTTTTGCTATTTGTTGTTTGCTCATACCCCCCTTTTTTTAGCAAGTCACCAGCTTCAACCAGAAAGAGGACTTCTGGCTTGCTCCTCACGCAGTGGAAGGAAAAAGTCCTGCACCACCTCAGATAGAGCATATTGAATATATTTAATAGACATGTTTTGATTCTTGAGGTCATTTGTAAAAGCTTGGTCCTCAGCAGGTCCTGCCACCAGGTCCTGCCACCTCGGAGCAGGTTCTGACCAGGTCGGTCACGGTGTCACGGTGTCGACCACCCACCTCCTCGGCCGAGGTATGCTCTGAAGCGGGTCCGGAAGAACCAGGGGAAGATCCCTGTGGAGGTCAAGCGCGCCTTCGGCCGCAACCCGGAACCGCCTTTGGGTTCAAAGCACGCACTCCGATCTGACTCGGATGGAGGTCATCCTGGCCAAGTCGGAGGGAGGAGACTGGTGAATGGTCGTGTTTTGTACCTGAACCGCCCTGAATAGAAATGATAGACACATCAGAAACTCCAATATATCCAATAATCAGTTGTGCGTGGTCACTCACAACATGTCACATCCTCAAGGCTTCCGCTGAGGTTTACCTCTTCGTCGGTCTCTGTCGACGACGGGCGCCAGCGGCGCATCCATCGGACGGTCCGGTGGGGCAGTGCTTTCGAACAAACCCATCGGTTCATGGGTTTGGGTTCAGGTGCGTCCTGTGGTGTCATCGATTGATGGTTCCGGAACTGGTGCTTGGGAGATGGACTCCGGGGGCCGGTCTGGCTCTGGCCGAGGTGAATGCGAACTGCTCAAGGCCCAGGAGCACCCCTTCATCATGCCTCTTGGCCCTGGAGACGTCACGGGCCCATCGAGGTCCTTCTGTGGTTGATCATTGGCACCTAGAATGACCCCCCCCTCACAGCCGACCCGGCACCGATCGGAGGACACCTCCTTGCAAGGGTGTAGGATCATTGTGTATATATATATATATAAATAAATAAATATATATAGACATACACATTAAAAGCAACAATATACATAAAAAAATATATATATTTATATATACACACCACCTCCAACAGGTGGCTTTTGCAGACTCAAAAGTCGCAGGTGGTGACCTGTTGGAGGGTGCTGGTAGATGTATCGAACTGCATGCAATGTGCCTAAGACATGTTTCTCCAAGCCATGCCAGCGGCCAAGTCATCCCATTCACTTACCGCTGACCGGGCCGAGCACCGGGCTGCAGCTCCCCGAGCCGTGCGTCCTTCGGCGAGCTCTCTCACCCAAACAAACAGCCTCAAATGTACCCAGCGGCATTCGGAAGGCATCCGTCCGGCCGACCGTCCATTCAGGGTGTGCATTTCACATCAGCTTGCATTCATTTGCACCATAAATTTCAGTTTGAGTGCTTTTGGGGTAAGAAGATGTAAGAAGCCCACACGCTGCTGACGCCCTCCGCCGAGCCACGCAGCGCGTCAAGACGCAGCTGGCAGACTTCTAAGGAGACTGGTGCAAACCTTCGAGACGCACAAGAGCGTGCCTGGGCCGATCCGGTGCTTTTTGGGCCTGTTCTGGGTGCTCATGAGCCTTTTGGAGGGGTGATGCACAGATATGACCTCCAAATCAGATTAAAAAAAGATCTTTCAATATCTTCTTTCCATGTTGGGGCACCTCCTCACGCAGCGGACCCCCAAAACTGAACCGATGGACCACTTCTCCTTTCACGATTTCTCGCTCCATTTCCCTACACACCGCTCCATTTTTTGTGAGACTTCCTTCCTCAGACCCTCAAAACCGCCCAGCTTTCCCGGTGATTTCCTCGCTTTCCCCGGCGGGCGCGCGGGTTTTTCCGCCCGCCACCGTTCGCTCCAGGTCTACATCCTCACCGAGCTCATCACCGGTGGCGAGCTCCATGGGGCGATCCGTGAAATTCCCACAGTGCTCTCCAGGTGGGACCGATGTCCAGTCATTCATATAGTTAGACTTATACTCGTAGTATCTCGTAGTCATAGTCAGTCCACGCACCACCGCGCGGCCAAACGGGGCGTGGATTCGGATCGGAGGAACGGCATCGAACGGATGCGGAGACACGAACGGAAGACTTGGCGATGCGAAGACTTGGAACAGGACTCACCCTGCATCGAAGATCCGAAGCAGAGACTAGACGTTGAGTACATGGAGTAGCGGACCCTGCGCCGTTCAACTTCTTCCCAATGCCCGGTGTTCTTCTCGCCCCGCGGCCACCGATCGGTGGCGGCCTCCGTGCATCGTCGGCATCGGTGTGGAGACCAAGCGTTCGTGCAGGGCACAGGCACAATTCTACACCGGATGCTTGATCATCGTTCTGGAGGCCACGCGTTCTTTTGGGCCGGGTGGAGTTACCGGTAAGGATTGGTGCTTCCATGATCTGACCGGTGGTCACTGGGATTGGCTGGGTTGAGTGATGGCTCCGCCAACTTGCACAGATATCGGGGTGACCTCTTTTGTACTCAACGGTCTATGACTCATGACCCCCAAAAGTGTGTGACCTACAATGCTGTGCTTTGATGTGCTTTGGGTGGCGTGCAGGAGCAAAGATAAAGGTCCCGAAAGACAGACTTGACAAACATATGCCCCGAGTGCTGGAAGAGATGCGCATCCCGACTGTCAACAGGACCTTCCGCAAGAAAGCCGACCTTTATGACCATTTCTTTCTGGGAGTCCCTGCAACCCATAGGAAAACAGGGGGAGAAACGGAAGGCTTATATAATTATAAAGTTCCTTTGTTTTCAAGCCGGAATTGGCTGGTGCGAAGATACGGAATTTGGACCACTTGTTGGGCCTATTGTAGCCACTCATCTCTTTGATGCAGGAGCTAAGTGAGAAGAACATCGTCTACAGAGATGCTTGGCTGATGGAATTGGGGTGTGGGGGAGCAAAAGAGGGATGCTTTGGCTTCGGCGTGAATTTCTCCGGTGTTTATATGCTATCTATTTATTTTTAAACTTAATTACTGTAAGGATTTTTCCCACTACTAGCATCCCAGATTCCGGAAGCTGGAGGAAAACCCTTCTGTCAGGGCCGATGTGGAGAACTTCGGGGAGTACATTCTTCTCCGATCATGTGGAGAATGCACGGTATCCGCCGCTTGACACGGTCTCTTCAGGACCTTAAGCCCGAGAACGTGATGCTCGACGCACAAGGCGCGAGAACGTGATGCGCGCGAGGATGATGAGCGGCGAGACCATCCATACGGACTCGCACCGCAGTGCCTGGAGGGATGACCAATTGCATTTGCAAAGTGAATATGTGACGTGCATGATCGTAGATAGTTTTTTTTTGATAGTTATAAAACACTTTCATTGGAAAGAGCTTGTTTTCAAAATGTACAAAAAAGTAAGTCAACACAACGTCAAAAAAAGTCAATCCCAACAGTCAAAGTCAAAGAAAGTCAAATCAGAAAGTTTCAGAAAATCAAAAAAGTCAATTTGCACAGATCCGACTTTTTTTGACTTGTTTTCGACTTTTTCAAGTGGTTGATCTTTTTTTTGACTTTTTCGAGTTGTTTTTTGATTTTTTTTTTTTTTTTTAAACTTTTTCGAGCTGTGGTCTATGGTTGACTTTTTTTGTGTTTTTTTCGGACTTTTTTTTAACCTTTCAATTTGGCGTGTGTTTTTTTTTCGACTTTTTTTGGACTTTTCAATTTGACTTTTTTTTTCTTTGACTTTTCCAGTTGACTATGACTTTTTTGTTTTAAATCAAGGATTCTGGCCTTACCATATGAAAGTTCTTTATAGGTTTAAAGTGTCTACAATAATATTTTCAAAATTAAAATGTATTATAATTAGTATAAGAATATACGATTATAATCGATTATATATGTATATGTATGTATATATTCTTTACACTGTACACATATTAAAGGCATAAAATTACATACTGTAATGTTCATGTATGGCATGCATGGAACAACGCAACAGATGTAGCTTCGGTTACGACTTAAGCTGTGAGAGTTCCTCCCAGTCCTCATTCCGGCTTTGGTCATGAGTCATCATCATTTTAGAAGGCCGGGTTTGGCCGAGCTGCTTAGCTTGCCTTTGCGGAGCTGCAGGTTATTTGAAGCTGATTGATTTTGGAATCGCCAAAAAACTGGAGGAAGGGAAAACCAGAACCTTCACCATGAGACTTGGTCTGCACTGCTTTTGGTGAAGACGGGGTGTGGGCGTAGTGGCAGAAGCCTATAGCAGTTGGGTGGTGGAAGAAGGATGGGTGTGGGCGAGGGCAGCCTGGAAACACGGAGCAAGCCAAGGCAGTTGGTGAGATTTATAACTATAGCCGCAGAGTTTACTTCAAACTTAAAACCCTCAATGGCCATCTACAGTCCACAGTGGATTCAGCAATGCATGATCATTCGCGCCACATCCACAAACCTCCTCAAAGCTTAGAGATAGGGTCGATGACTATCGGATCTACTAAGTAGTGGGGTTTCGTTTGGATGCTGCATCGCCAATTTGGCTTCGAAGGCCTGTTGCTGCTGCCTAATTATGATCTGACATGGCACATTCCCACGTAAGAAGCACCTCGCAAGAATTGAGAATCAAGCAGCTGCCAGCTGTTTTCTCACAAGTCCTTTGAACTTGCACTCCTCTTTGGCGTTTTGGCGTTTGAAAAGGGGCAAGAACTCTTCCAATCACTTTGCGAGGTCTCGCTCGTCCTTGGACATTCGACCTTGGGGGGTTGGGGGGTTGGGAGCCCCTGAACCAATGGGGAACCAGGTTCCTCGCCTTTGGCGAACCTGCCCCCCAGGATCGGCACTCCCCACTATATGGCTCCGGAGATCATGCGTGGCCATGGCTACGGAACGGAGGTGCGGACGGACGGTGCGGACGGTCGAGGCATTGGCGAAATGGACGGTCGGTTCAGGGGGCGGACGGTCGGTGGGGGTCATGTGTGGTCGTTGAGGAGTTCCTTTAAGTGGAAGAAGAGCTCGGAAGGGGTGCCCTGTTGCCACAGCACTGAATAGCTTGGGATTGATGCTCCAACTCTGGAGACCTTCCAGGCTAAACCACAGACTGCACAAAACAGTTAAACATACAACACCTGCTGTTCGCTTCCCGCTTCCGCAGCCGAGCATTTGGGTGTTCATTCTCATTTGCTGTATCTCATCCAAGAGGACAACGCCTTTGAGGAGCTACCCACCGCTGCGGAAACGACCCCCTTTGCCTGGACATCAGCCGTGAGGTGATTCACTGCTTCATGTTGCTTTAGTTGTTTCTTTGTCACACTTTGTCATCCAGTTCGCTGAAGAAGTGGTATCATCCAAAACATCTCCAGTTCGCGTACTTCCCCACCCCGCAAAATCTATTTATGACCCACCGGGTGGCCTGCCGAATGCCGGGGAAAACCAGTGTGATGAAAACGTCAACCCGTGTGACCGGTTGGAGGGTGTTGATCCCTGAACCACTTGGTGAACTTTGATTTCAGCCACTTTTTACATCAGTGCGGGGGTTTCACGACAGTTTGCGTCTGAGTTCGACCTCCACAAACCTCACAACCCATCCGCAGGTGGACTTGTGGTCTTTGGGGATCATCCTCTTTGAGTTCGTTTGCGGTGGGGGGTCTCGGGCATGACGTGTGGGCAGGGTATCGGACAGGGATTCGAAGCTTCCTTTGCCGAGCGCCCTTCGGGGCACTTTTCTTTATATAATACGAGTTATATTATACGTTATACTGTATTGACATCCGTGTACTACATATATAGAGATATAATATAGATATATTTAGAACACATAAAACGTGCCTTTATCACTAAAATGAGTGGCACAAGCAGCAAATACATCATCACAACCCTCGTTCTAGTCCGTATGCAGTGACTTTGATTGAATGTGGTGTGACATGCGATCAAAGAACACGGATAAGATTTGGTTCATCCTAGTTCTGAGGACATGGGGCTTTTGATGCACCTCTCTTCACAAAACATAGGCTTATCGAGCGCCCTACGACGTGAACCGCGTATGACGTCGTCGATTGGTCGACCTCCGCATCAATGAGATAAGTCCTCCGCATCAATGGGTCCGAGGCTATTTGCCCTTCGCCGACGAGCTGGATGACCCCACAGAGGTTTGCACGGCCGTGCTGAAGGATCCCTTAGAGTTGCCCGACGGTCGCCCTCTTTGCCGTCGGACGTCGGATGCGGTGCGACCGGTCCGGCGTCGGTGAACATGGTTTTTCGAAACGAGACTCGTGACGGGAGGCGCTTTCATCCTGCGACTTGAGGATGCTTGAGGTCCAGATTTGGGGAGTGGATGACAGAATCCCAGTTCGTAGATCATGTGTGTGTGTGTGGGTGGGTGGGTTGTGCTGGCATGCTAGCATAGCGACCTACAATGGGCTACACATGTTGGGGGTGATGAGACTTCGCGCAAGCAGTGGGTAGAACTCGCTGTCGAAGTAGTAGGTCTTGCCGTTGATGGCCGCACCCACACGCGCACATGGCAAGAGTCCAGATCACTCAACACGTCATCATTTCACTGAAGCCACCTCATTTCTCACAAGTCAGCAATCTTGGGAAGGAATCTTTTCGATCTTTTAGGATGCTCAGTATCTACAAAGCATGCAGCACTTGTACACTTTTTTTGCGGAGCTTTGAGCTTGTTATGGTATGGTTTCCACTGGTTTCCATATCTTAGCCACAAACAGAAAAAGATGGATTGGATAGTTTGGCAGCTGGGGGGAACTCCGAATGCCTGTTTCAGGTACCATCTCTTGTGTGTGGTGCTTGTTTCGACTTTTGATCCTTTTTTTCTGGCGAAGTTCGCGCATTCAATTGAACATCCTAGGCAGCAAATGAGCGCATAAGCATGTAGGCTGAGCCGCTGAACATCCGGCTGGGCTTTCGGGGGGGGGGTTGACCGATTGAGGAAAATATCCGGCCAGACACTCCGTGAAGAAAGTGTGTAGCATGTAGACCTACAATGACCTACATTAGAATCATTAGGGTGGTTTCAGGGGGTAAGTGTATGTGAACATGCCATTTTCATGCCATTTGTACATGGAATATACTATACTATAGACTATATCTATCTATATATATATCTTTATATATTTCACTAACATATTGTTTATGCTGTACATGGAATGTTTTGGGAAGGGTTAAAAGCCACAATCGGTCTTGCCACCTGGCCTTTTCCAAGGTTTCATTCGCGCTTCAAGGACCTGGGGGTGGTTCTTTGGGATGCGGGAAGAGCAGGAAGTCTCAACAGCCATCGGATTGGATTCAGTTGTTCCCTTCCTTGGTGTTTGGAGCTTCCAAGTCGTCGATTTGGAGGCACGATTGGGACATAAGAACCCAGCGGCGTCCGAGGGTGCTTCAGTGAAACGCTTGGAACACCGCCTCAGATTCCAGAGATGCTTGAATATGGCCAAATGCTGTAACAGTTCTATCACCCACTCTTGTTGACCCCGGGTTCGGTGCCTCGTTCCCGACGTCGTACGCTGACACGAGGATGCCCAGTGTAAAGCGGTCATCCAGGGGATGCTCAACCGGCAGCCGAAGAAGCGCTTGGGAGCTGGCGGCTGGGCGGGAATTGAACGAAGAGGGGGGAGTTGGAGGAAAATGCCATCGGTAGTGTATCTTCATCATATAGTGTATCTCTTTGGGTCATCTTCAATCAATACATACGCATGATCATGCATGTATGCATGTACATCTTCATAACTACAATATGTAGCACCTGTCACGCCGCCTATGAGAAGGCCATTAATTTCGCTTTGTTCCGACCACGTCTCAGGCATGAATGGCTGGGAAGATATCAGGACCGCGGAGTGTTGGCCTGGGCCTGGCTTTCAATGGCCCAGCATCAGCGTGTTAATTTGATTTGGTTTGCAAGGGGCAAAGCACTAAGCATACTAAGCTTGACACCTTGAAGACCACTGTTATTAAGGTACATTTGACCCCACTAACAGTTTGTGATAGTTAGTGTGCAACACTCTTTGCAGCAAGCATGGCTGTGCTGTGCGGGACTTTCCGTGATGTTGCATGGTGCAGGATCGCGCAGGATTCTCTTTTTTCGCACGCCCTGCGGGTTAGAGGTGAACCAGATCTGGACATCCAGCCTCACACGCCCCCTTTTCAAACTGCAGAAAAGACCGCCGGGCCTGGAGGGCCTGGAGGGCCTGTATGCCGAACGGCGACGAGTGAAACACTCGGAAATGGCCCGTGACGAAGGGGTCGCATCCGGGATGCGACGGGTCGCGACCCGTGGTCGTGCCTGGTGGTGCGGGAAGCGGGAGTGAAGCAGTTTTCGCCCTTGGCCCTCGGCCAGGAATTCTGAATTCTTCCTCATCGGGCACAGCGGCAGTACCCTGCCCCTCGGAAGAAGGAGACAAAGATCAGGTTTGAAGTGGTCACTCATTACCTGGTTGCTGCCAGGTCTATGGCGTTGGTCTACAGTTGAAGTCGCTCACTTGTTTCATTGACCTCTTCGTTTGTGGATCGCGGCAGTCAAAAGTAGTCGAGAAACGTCACGAAACTGGTGCTCCGATCAACCTTTCAGCCTCCATGGTTTAAAACGAAAAGTCGGGGGTGAACATGACCACATGATCTCTTTGACACCGAATCCTCCTCCACCATCTTCCATGCCAAACATTCTTTTGAACACTCCCCCTGCAGATTTAACACGGAACTCCAAAAACCACACTTGGGTTAGGTCTTCAGCGACCTGCTCTTCCCGGTGTCTCATGGCCTTCTTTTCTTGGGGTCCCTACTCCCCGGAACCACCTCTCCCTACTCCTGGGAGTCCATCCGCCAATACCGAGCCGAGCCGATGAGGTTCGACAAGATCATGGGCCGAGAGCTGGAAGCACCGGTGATGCCCAAGGCCGGGGCAGAGCGGCGCGGCGGGAGAGCCTGGGAGAGTGCGGGCAGGAAGAGCGCAGGGAGATGAACGCTGGGTGGCAGGATCGGGGGAGTGCTGTTGATGTTTCGGGAGGGTGCTTTGGACCTGTAACTGTTCATACTCTTTTGCAGTTGTCAGCTTGACTAAGGCTAGGTATTTGGACATGTTCAACTGTCCTGAACGGGAGCAAAAGCGGTACGTCGTTGGTGCCGGACCCTGGACCTTTGGACGGGTTCCCATCGAACGTAGACTTGGAGGGTGAGAATCGGCCGTGGGGTTCTGAGCAAGTGGCGTACAACTCTCGCGGACACGAGACCTTTTTATCCTTTAAATTCCTTTAATATATATATATATAATATATAGTATTATTATATAGATATGTATTAATATAATATATGTCATATATGTAAATTGAAACAATCACAAGATGATCCCCTAGTGCAGTTCCAAAGCCTTTGGCCATCGTGGCATCCTGAGACTGGAAGGCACTTCTGGCCATGCGACTGGCCCAGCAATGAAGCATATACTCCGACCAAGCACTGACCGTGGGAATGCGAAACCTACCGCTTCCTCCATCGTCATGCCATCCCAAGAGCTATGCCAGCGCTGCAAGGGCGAGAAGTATTGCGAGCCCACCGACATCGACTTTACCTTGAGCGACGAGGGTGAGCTGGGCTGAGCGGCCGCAAGAGCGCCGGCCACTGGCCGCTGTGGTCGTGCTGGAGTCAGGAGGAGACCGGCTGAGGCCGAGCGTAGGCAAGGTAACCCAGCTGGCCACAGATCCGCAGTGTGCATGATGGCTAAGAGATCTAAGAGGAATCTGATCGGAAAACAAGTGCACTGCCTGGTCACCCCTCGAGATTCCAGTATCTCACAGCAAGATCCCACGCCTCCGCTGGCACTGGAGATGCGGAGGAGCATCAGAACGGTGAACGGAGAAACGATCCAAGAGCCAAAAGTCAGTTGCAAAGAAAGCTCGAGACACCTTGGCATGCCATTGGGGTACTTGTAGGTGTATGTAGGCGTATGTCGGAAACGGCTGGGCCGAGCTGTCAGGGCGATACTGCAACTTGTTCATGAAGCATCACCGGAAGATACTGGAACCTCAGGAAAGACTGGATACACAGATCAGTTTGTGGGATGTTACTGTGTCACCGGGTTTTGTGGGAAGGAGGCCCAGATCTTGAGAAACCCCAAGTTGAGTGTAATTAGATCTTGTGCTTCCCCCTGCCCGGAACAATTGCTGGGGGTGCTATGTGGGACCCCTACGAACCACCCTCTGGGGAACCAGCAGTTGCGAATTGGACTGGGGTTGTCCCAATCCGTGACTGGTGGAGAAAGGAACCTTGTTCTCTATCTATGTGTTATGTGTTGGGTTTGGCGCTGAGTGATGTGATGGTCCACTTGTTCTGTGCTGTTGAATGGTTTGTCCTCTGAGTCATCTCTGCTTCCTTAGGCTGAGGAACTGATGAGAACCGCAATGTGGGGGAAAGAATCCAAGAGTGTGTTGGGTGTTTTTACCACATATAGGACTTGGCACCCCGAAGGGCCTTCAGTCTCTGCCATTTGCATCCTGATCGATCCCGATTAAAGAAACCCTTTCGGATCCTTTCGGCAAGAAGCCCTTTCGGCTTCGACCTCCGCGTTTTGCTCAGCAGCCGGTGGGGTTCCCCACGTCTTTTCCGCGACGGTCCGCGAACAACATCAGGGTTGGTGAGAAGGCCTTTGGGTCAAAAGCATTTGCGCTTTAAAAAGCTACTTGCACATCGTCAGATCGTGACTTTCTAGGACATAAGCTATGATATAGGGAACTTTCAGAATCAAACAGAATCAGAACCGTGTACATGTCCACACAGGTCTTGACCGCTTGAGAGAGGTCGCATCCACATTGTTGGCATCCATCGCGCAGGTTAGGAAAATCATAGAACATTTGCCAAGTCGCAGGAATGTGCCAGCTCAAAAGCCAACCCTGAATAGCTTTTTTCTGAGGGCTCTGCCACAAGACGAGGCCGTGTCCCACCACGCCAAATGCCGGGGGGAAAGACGACCCCGGAGAAACTTGAACTTCACTTGTCGGCGGCTGAAAGGTGAAGGGAGCACTGGACACGCAACATATCAAGAAACATTGTACGTCATGTTTGCATTTAACAACTGGACACGCAACACTGGCCTGGGCCTAGACTTGAACTCAACACGCTGGAAACCCTTGAAAACCGCTGCCGCTTTTCGCGGTCGCCCAGCGTTTGGAAAATTGCCCACGCAAGGGCAGAGCTCGTTTTTGGGGGTGAAGACCGAAAGGCCGAGTGAAGAAGGTACCTTCCCCCGAACTAGTAGTATCAGAAAGACTGGAAAGAAATTAGACGGTTCTTCTTCTTCTTCTTCTGCTTTGGGAGGCGGTGAAGACCACGCCTTGGGCTCGCTATTGATAGGTTTATACCATCCAAGCCAATTGAAGCCCGCACTGGGGAGTGCACTCATGGCCGCCACTCCTGCCAGACCAATGGAGGGGGGCTGCACCATGAGGCCTCCCTCTGGTCCAGCAGAAGTCGATCTAAGCCTTGGACCTTACAGAAGGATGCAGAAGGGAATAAAAGTGCCGTGGGAACCCTTGCAATTTGAAGGACAGTGTGATCCCAGCTCAACAGTCAGGCATCTCCAGATCCTACAGCCAGAGCGGCGAGTGAAGATCCCACTGGGGAGAGCCGATATGGTGACACTGGAAAAGTATGTAGATCCAGTGATTTGGCGCATGTTTCACCAACACGATGTGTTGCCAAGTGTGGGTCTCTCCCAGAGGGCGAACTCAATTCGAGTCGGAGTATGCGCGTGAGCCGGAGAGCGCCTGAGTGCCACCGAATGATTCCAATCCGAGCCGCAGAGAATGCGATCGCTATCCCAGGTCCCAGGTCGGTTGCGCGTTGGTCAAACTGAGCGCTCAAACACCTAGATGCACTGCAGAGAATCGTGAAACAGTGATTCAGTCTGGCGGACCTATAAGTACGTCTATCCTGCAGTGGATGGATGAACCTGACTCAATGGTCAACAAATCTGACCAAACTTGTAGAGCAGAAACAGCAGAACAGAACACCATGAGTTATGTATATCCGTATCGATATGTTATCTAACCATCGTAACAGACACATAATTATATATAATAGAATATATATATATATGTGTGCCACGGGTGATACGCTGATACGCTTACATACATACCAGCATGCTTGCCAAGATGGCACACCAATCTGAGCCTTTGTCGAAGATCGGTCCAGAGATGGTTTTGGGACCGGTCTCACGACACCGAAACGGACCAAACTGCCTGGTCCGCTCATCCACTCTGAAACAGACCCGTTCCCTGCTGGTCAGCACTGGCTCCGTGACACCCTCGCTTCGCGCCGGCGGAAGCCTCGTGGGCGGCGCGACCGGCGGTTCGGCGACACGACGCACCGGCTGAAAGGGCAGGAGGGCTGCGCGGACCTTGAGTCCAACCAGCATTGCAGAGCGTTGAGTCCAATGGTGCAAGCTTTTTGATGACAGAAGTGAGAGAAGAGGGCAACGGACATTATAGACGTTGATCCGGTGTTTACACCTTCATATCTGCTTGATGTCTCCTGGCTTTCCTTTTTTCACGGTCTTGAGGTTCATCGTTTGATTCAATAGATGACCGGTTGGACCGGCTTTGGCCGCTCTGGCGGTGATATCCGGAGAACACTCTCAATGGCCATGGGTGCTGTGGGGTGGATGGAAGCCAGAAAGGAAATGAGCAACAGGCAAAACTGTTCATGTAAGAGTTCACTGTTGGGGTCTTTCCATGATGTAGGTTGCCCAAAACCCTGTAAAACCTGATATACATATATAGTGAACTACAAAAATCGATAACTTGAACTATGAGATCATGTTCCACCTACAGTAAGTTGATGATGATGATTGCCTCAAGTTCCACAACGCTGCGTGCACGCAACGAAGCTAGTGGACTGGGTGGTCACAGGCAAGCTGTTTGCACCATTGGCGCACTATGCGCAAGTAAGCTATCGTACTGACTGGCTACAGGCAAGTTGCTTACGCCCGTGGCAGGCTGCACAACGCTTGCTTTGTCTCTGCAGCCTCCTGCCCAAAGGTTTCCTCACGCGGCTTCCGACAAAAATCCCAGTCCATGATCGATAACCAAATCGAAAACGAAACGAGAGCCGTTTGTTGCGCAAAGGCTGCCGCAGCGGTCACCTCCCAACTTAGGTCACGAACATTGATGCCAAAGTTCTCACAAGTTCGCGTGGGCCATATGGAAGAGAGGTCGGCAATATTCCGCTTGGCAAAGCAGTCAGTGCATCGGTACTGGCAAACATGTTTGACGATGAAGTTTCATTCTACAAAGGCACGCGTCCCAGTGGCAACTGCTAGAGAGGGGCCGGTTCCTTTGACAAGAGCTGCCTTTCGGCTGCTTCTCAGCTTTCGTATTGACATAAATTCTTTGCCCGCAGGTCATAATCTGCGAGGGATGTTCAAACCACTCAGAACCTTGTAAAACGACATAGCGAACTACCAAAACCGAGAACCGCATACAGAAGACCCGTAGTCTGCTTGGAGGTCTTGCCGTTCGCTGAGGTACAGGGGAGCTCGCCCTCTCCAGTGAGTTTTAGATAGTTTTAGGGTATTGAGCTGAGTGAAGCATGTTAGCTATCTGCAAAGCTGGTGTCATAGAGCCTTCGACCGCCCCCCGCGGTGAATTTGCACGGGCTGGCGCCGTGAACGGCCCCGACCCTACGACAGACTCAGGGTCTTGCTTCGGGATAGGTCGGGTGAACATGAGGCGGGTCCAGAAACCACCAGAACAACGGCAACGACGTCAAGCAACGAACCTTTGAATGGACCAAAACTAGCGCAGTATTGCAAGACCAGTGAAGATGTTAATGTTTCGTTGTGCCAATCAATGCGCGCTCGACTCCCATTGATATGGCATTTGTGACGATCTGCAAGACGCTGAGTGCCCTGGATGGGGCTCCCACGAAGATGCGAGCATGCACCCACCCGAAAGGTCGTTCGAAATCCGACTGTCACCAAATGCGATCAAATACGACGCGCGTGTGCCTGGTGCACCCTGCTCCGCGCAAGAGCATGGAGCACTGCTCCAAGGGATGGAGGAGTGGGCGTATGTTGTGTGATAACCTCGGCATGGCCGTTGCTGCGGGAAATGGGCATACTAATGCCATTTTTTCATAGTGTGTTCCTGAACTTGGTGTTTTCTTTGGTTTTCCGCAATGAAACATTGAACCATCACACTCTTCAGTAAAAATTCTGGTTTGTGTTCTCCGACAGCTTTGGGGCGGTCCCTGAGGCGCCTGAGGTGGAGGCCAAGCGTGTGGTGGCCCAGAGAACGGTCGATTTGGACCTCCAACCTCATTGGTTCAACCGCTGGTCGGTGACTTTGCCCCGCAATATGGTTGGAAGGTTGTACCACTCTTGGGGGGTGCCATATATTACCATAATATATTTATATTATGTACAATGTATATGATGTTCTCTGGACACATGTGGTTTTTCTCCACAAAGCTTGGCATTCAGCCCGTAGCAGTGTAGAGGCGGTTTCAGCCATTTTCAGCCTATAGACGGTGTAGCAGTGGGAGCCGATGCGCCTGGACAAACCGCGATGAGTCCCACCGTAGGGAACTCGCCTCGACAGGAACGCCTCGAGGTGGCGATGGGAGTTGAAACGCCTCAAGAAAACCATTTTCCATGACATGTCACCCCTCAACAGGACAAGTTCCCATGGCCCTAGTCAGGCCGATAGAAACGCGCAACAAATCACTCATTGAACATCATTGAACACCGGTTTTTCGTGCTCAGCGGCTCCCACTGCCGTTTCTTGCCGATCGCTGAGGCTGGCCATTGCTGGAGCGGCTCATGACGGCAGTTGGGGCTCCTGGTTGGCGTGTCGCAGATCATGGAAGTGAAGCTGGGGGTGCCATGGCAGCTGCATCAACTGCTATGGGCTGAGGCATTCAAGCTGGGGAAAGGACCATTCCAAGTGCCAGGCTGCCAGGAGAAAGGATTGTACACCTGGCAGCTATGGTAGTTGCCCAGGGCAATTTGGAGTCCCAGATTTGCGAGTGATATATATATATATATATATATCCACAGTTTTCATTCTACGCACACACATATGCACATAATATGAGTTGTCGGGATTGTTTGGAACTGAAGTGAGGCCGTTGAAACCGACATTCCACGACCTGTTGAAAAGCGTGCAACCATGTTCCAAGACCTTGGCATTGAAGAACCAGGAGGTGTTGTCGCAAATGGAACGTGTGTGATGACACCATAGCCCTCCAAGGAGTAACGATTCTTCTTTTCTTGGGAACCCGCGGATGTAACTTGCGGCGTTTGAGCCGTCCATGAGACAGGTGCTGATTTACTCACCCGGGGGAGGTCGCAGCTCTCAGAGGTTGATTGAGGTTAGCTATGCCATGGTCATGGAATGTCACCAGAAGGTGTTCAAAGGCCGATTGGCCAGGACGAAACCTCCCCCGTCCACCATCCGTCCACCAGTCCACTGCCAAAGAAGAGGACTCACACCATGTGGGATGGACGGCTTCGCTGTTGGGATGGACCCCTGTTCAGCTGTTGGACGCCGGCTCAAAGCGCGAACGCAGCATCCGGTCGGCACGAAAGAAGCACACCAATCTGGGGCATAGGAGTTCTTCACTGCCAAGTAGTTGGGAGTGTATCAAATTCTTATTCTTGCAATGCAGCTTCCGATGATGCTGCCATGAATTGGGGACTGTCCCCGACAAAGTGCGACGCGACCTGTTGCAAGGCGGAATCTTTCCATTTCCAGGGCTGGCTTAATGGTTTGGGTGCTGCATGTGCATGTGGGGATGCTTTTAGATCATGCATGTTCCTTGAACCCACCTTCCAACCTTGGGGCGGAGTGCATCATAGGCAAGGCATGCTTGACAAACAGTGGACTACGACGACCCCGTCTCAGACTCGCTCCATTGATTGCTGGGCTGCAATGGCACGCGCGGCCCATTAACCAGCAGTCATTAACCAGTGCCGGGTCCTCGGTCGGGTGTGGAAGGTTGCGCACATCGTCATCAGTGGTACGCGCAAGGACATGACACATCTGCAAACCTGGCAAGTTCTGCACCTCACTCGTAAAGTCCAGGTGACCTTGAGATTCTTCCGGCCAAGGCATTCTCTTTGGGTGTGGCCGCGGCCGGGGTTAATGACCATGAGGTCCGACCTCCATCCCTTCCTGGAGCTCTCGTGGACGGGATGGCCTTGGACGTGCTGAGTGCTGGGCTGGGCGCCGCAGTGACGGACGCTGGGCTCCTTCAGCGGGTGGGAGCTGAGTGGCTTCGGCGCAGGTTTGCAGCCAACATGGTCCTCCGGGTGATGAGAGTTGGACCAAGGTTGCCTGAAAGCTGTGAAGCCTTCAGAAGTCTCTGTCTTCCTCCTTGCACCCCCTCCAAATGCGCGGCAGATGTAGCGAGGAGTTCATATGTCATGTACTTGATTGGTGGTGGCCGGGTGGGACTGTACATGATGCACTGCAGATGTGATGTGCTGCTGGGTTCTTGAGAAAAGATGAGAACCGTATTTTGTTTTTGCATGTGGCCTCTTTTCCGAGAGCGGCCATGTTGAGGACAGCATGTTTAACCCCTTGGCCATGATCACAGTGCGTCTTCAGGCACTCCGAAATTAAGCAAGGAGAGATGGTCCAGGGGGGAATTCAGGGAATTCACTCAAATATCACCCCAAACTTTGGTAACATGTTCAGGGCGTGTGGCCATCCAAATGCAGGTGTGCAAACTCAGACATGCTTGGTGGATATAGTGTTTATGCTCCAGACTGAGACTCTTGAAAGACTGTTTCCCATGTTCCTCTGTGGGTTCCTGTTACAGTCGAAGACTCCAAGAGGTACCACTTCTCCACAGTTCCAGGTGGATCGCGAGCGGGTCTTGTACAAGAGCTTCGGGCAAAGTGGCTTGGTGAAGTTTCCAGCTGCGAGATGCTGCGATTCGCGGCATGGATGGGGAGATCGCCGGATTGATGCAGAAGAGCCAGAGAGCTCCTCAAGAGATTTGATATTCTCCGCTCGGCGCTCGAGACTCGTTCATATTGAGAGTATTGAATATTGAGATCCACCTTTGATGCTCTTCCAAAGACGTGTACTTACACAGTCTTACACACAATTGGACTTCGGATTTTCAAGTCTGAACAGCTGTCAGGCTTGGGATGCAAGATTGCAATGCAGATCTCTGGATGGAAGGTTGAAGATTTCACAGGGTCTTGCCCAGAAATCTTCAATCCAGATCCCTGGATTGAAGATTGAAGATATCACAGGGGTCTTGCCCAGAAATCTTGAATCCAGACCCCTGGGTCGAAGATTGAAGACTTCACAGGTCGTGAAGAAGCCGCAGCAAACTTCTCGAAGCCGCTGACCACTGTAGACTCATGTAGACTCCACGGCATTTCCTGATAACTCTTGTCAGCGGCAGCGTGAGCTTGAATGGCACTCAAGCCGTTATGGTGCTGGATGTGCGTGGTCGGTATGCTTGAGACTGGGCCAGAAGCTAGAAAGTCGGGCTTTATGTTTTCAAATGTGATTTTGATCCATTGGTGCCGAGTTTTTGTTTTTGTTTTGATGCTCTTTCCGTTACCTTTTGAAATACTTGTTTTTCAAAGTTGAATATTCACATTTTCGTACATTTTTCATCAATTCAAAAGCAATACGCACCACTCAGTAACTGTAACGAAACCAATAAACAACATATAAAAGCTGAAGCCATTAAGCAAATCTTTGGCTGACTTCTCGATTCTCAACCAGATCCTGCTTCAGAAAGTGCTGGACGGAGAAGAACCAATCCATGAGTCCAGGTTGCCAATACTCAAAAACAGTTGGCAGCCATGGTTGCAATGTGCAGCCGCGCTTTCAGCCTCGGACTCAATATCTAAGGTCGGTGCTTTAGAGGACAAGAAGGAGGATCCATCGTCCCCAGCTTTGCCCTCGACACTAGCCATGTGACTGCATATGTCGCAGGTTGAGAATTGGTGCGGGACTCGAGTGAGCAGTGATTCGGTTCCAGGGACTAAATCCACCTAACCTTGTACTCAATATCTAAGGTCCGTGCTTTGTAGGACAAACCGTCTTCGACATCATAGGATTTCTCATCATCCTCGGATTCATCTTCAATGAACCCAGTCATACAGACTTTTTCTTAGGTTGATGATGGCCGCAATTACACCTCTGGCCTAGTCCTGCCAACCTTTACCCGCTGCTTGCCCAGGAAGACTGCGCCTAAACAGCCAGCAGGGATCGAGCGAGCGTTGAAGGATGCAACAGCTCCATGGCAGACAGCTCAATACGAGGCGTTCCATATTATATGGTCACTACATCTCCGATTTCCAAGCTTTTAGGAGAGGGAACGGCTGATGGGGTTGAATGATGTTGTCAAACGCATTGTCAGGCAAGCTGACTCCCGCTAAGTCAAGGTTGACCTGGGTTGCCCGATGATTGGCCACACCTTTTGTGTGTTCTCTCTCCTGGTTTTGGAGTTATGCGACGTTGCCAACTAGGCCCACTAAGCTCCGTTGCCTTCCAGGGCCACCAGCGCCCGCTGGGTGGACGACTGCGCCCAAGTTTGTCACCAACCCGGATGTAACTGCTCAGCGCTCGCAACTCGTTCATGGTATCATGAGACATGGAGATCAATCCGGGACTGATATTAGTCTAGATCTAGGCACCCCTTTTCGGTTCAAGGCGTGCATCGGCGTGCGGTTTTGAACGCTGGTGGCAAATCATAAGCGGCTTTAAGTGGCATCATCGGGCACTTTAACTGTCTCGAGCTGCAGGCTGTGGTAAAAAGCTTGCAGTGGCGCCTGCGGAAAGCCGACCGGTTCAAACATCGTGTACTTCACCTGATTGACTCACATGTGGTTGCCTGTGTGGTGACAAAGGGCCGGACATCGTCTTCACGATTGACGAAAAGCTTGCGCAAGCTCAACGCTCTGCTCAGCTCGTGAGTACCGGTACCATCCTGTCACTCTGACAACCCAGCAGATATATCCCCAGAGTGGCGCAAAGCGCGGAAAGGGGTCGTGCGGACAGAACAGCTAGTGACTCCTGGAATGTTGCAACGTTATCAGGTAGCTTTAGTCACCATTTAGTCACCACTGTGCAATTTGGGGAGGACTGCCATCTGGAAATTCGTGACCTTAGCGAGTTGGATTCCATGTTGGAGCACATCTTCAGCCAGGGGCTTCCTCGCAGATCCCATTAGGGTCGTGCCAATCAGCCCTCTCTTGGTTCGAGCGTTTGCTGGGTTAGACGTTTTGCTGTCCTTCCAGATTTCATAGGTGTGGCAGCGTTATTGCTTACTGCTTTTGATTGTCTTCTTTGAGCAGGGAGCAGTGTTGTCGCTGCCTGACACCAAGACCGGGCGCCGAAAAGGCGCAGCAGAGAAGGTTGTATTAGAAACCACCCTAGCTCGCCGCTGGCTTTTGCAGGCCTGTCAAGGGTTACCTCCACAAGCCAGTATTCCGTGGTATCTTCCATTATTGAATCGTTTGAGCTTACCGGGCTGTATGCAGTTTACAGCCTGCGACGTGGTGGCGCCACATAGCGCTTCCTTCCTGTCTCATGGAAATTTAGAGAAGCCTTCTTCTTCTACGGCCCGCGTAATTTGCAAGACACTTAGCTCTCCAACCTGGTCGCGTTTTGACAACAGCTTGACGGCGATGCGCGGGTCAGGGGTCCGTGGAAGTGCCACTAATTTGAAACCCAAAATATAGGTTGTGGCCACTTTCCAACGGTCAGCTTGTGCTGCGCCTCTCAGATCATGCTGAAAGATGATATGAGGTTGTTTGAACGTGTGGTTTCACTTCAACTTGAACAAGCTCTGGCATTCTTCAACTTGGACAATGGCCAGCATTGGTACTCATTACCGTAAGGTAACCTCATGGAGCGAGCCTGGAACTTCGAATGCGCCGGTGAAGGGATGTTTTCCCGGCCAGGCACCAACGGTTCCTTTTCAATCCTTCCAGTAAAATCTTGACATTCTGCGCAGAAGCTGCTCTTTGGAATTTCCGGCATTCTGCGTGACGCCTCCGCTCGCGTGAGGATGTCGGTTCCTTGGCTGTCCCGTTTCCCACCATCAGACTGATTCCCAATCTCGTTGTCACTTGCTGTGCGCCAAGATGGTTGAGCAGCAGCAAATGTGTTTTGTTGGATCGCTGCCAAACTTTTGTTGGGGTTGAACGAATGGAGTGACGCAAGGGAGAACATGTTAACTGTAAGAAGGGGTTCCAAAAACACACATCACATATGAGATGAAGCCCTACCTCGTGGGTGGGGGCCGTTCATCAACGACCGACAGGTGGCCACGTTGACCTTGGAGAGCCGCAAGCCTAGGGGAGGCTCCATGGCAACGAGCAACTATATCGATTATATATATATATATATATATTAAGTCCGCGTCTTTCGCAGACCCGCAGTGGCATGGAATGGAAAACTTACATGTGTATACACATGTGTTGAACAAATCAGATTGATCATGTCGCATTGATCTTGTCACCGACATCAGCAGGAGGTGGGTTCGAAACGAACACACGTCCTGGTGCCTACTTGGCCTGACATCTGCTGAGCGCCTGAAAGACCAACTGCTTGAGCAAAACCTGGTGGGATTGGTAGTGAGTTCACTTCACATACGGTAGGACCAACTCTCTTTTGCGACCATCAGCTCCCCCCAAAAGACCTATTGATCAAACAAACAGAGTGCTGCGCCCAACATGTTTTCGCCGTGGGCAATTTGGTGACGCACGGTCTAGCTCGGCGCTGCTGCCAGGTCTGTTCAAGACTTAATTGTGGAGAAGGCTTCACTGAAAAGCTCATTTTGTGTGACTTGTTGCAGTTACGCCCAAAACCATTTGATCTACGTTCTATTGCGAAAGCGTTTTGATGGATGTTGTATAGGCGTGAACTTTTGAATGCAATCGCTTGAAAAGGCAAATGATGCCCAGCCGCATACTTTTCCATTTCAGAGTGCGTAGCTTCTGTGGTAGGCTTCCACTCACTTGGAATCCCCAGGTTGTTGTTAGAATAGAGAGATGAATGAAGAGGCGTGGGGTCCTAGCGTCCACCAAAGAGTATCCAGCAGACCACCGCCCTATAGATCAAATCTACCAATGTCTGTTCTAAAGCGAGACACTGACTCAAGACTTAGACCGCACATGATCTGACTCAGGACTCAGCAAATTGGAAAGCATCAAAGGTGGATCTCAGGGGGGCTTGCGTTTTTTGTTCTATATATGTATATATATATATATACGTATATATAAAATCTATCTATCATTTTGAATTTATCATTTTGAGGCGCCTCCTTCCAAAGCTTCCGAAGGTTAGAAGTCATAGGCAGCCCTGAGAAGAAACGGGGTCCGATCCCGGTCTGAATTTCGAGGCTTGCGGCAGATTTTCCACGAGGAGGGCCTTGTGGGCTTGTGGACACCGGGCTTGGTGGCCACCTGGATGCGCGCCTTCACACAGACAGGCCTCAGAGTGGGGCTCTACCCCAGGCAGGCTTGGGGATGTTCAATGGGGTTCACATGGGGTACGCTCACTAAGCCTGAGAATGATTTCTGCTTCTTATTAACGTTGCTTAAGCCTTCAACGAACATCAAATCACACCACCACACTGAGGTTGGCTCCAAAACTGCCACGTCTTCAACAAAAACGGTTCAGCCGTGTACAACCGCGACAACCGCGTCAAACACCACGTCAAGCCGCCACCTCTCCTCCCAACAAGAAATCGTGTCCAGGGTGAAGGCCTTCTACGGTGACACCGGCGGCCTGGCGACGAAGCTCGCGTCTGGCGCGTCCACGGGCGCTTTGGGCGCAGGTCTGGCCAACCCCATTGACGCCCGCCGGGAACCAGGGCAGGGCCAGGTGCAAAACAGAACTCGGACTTGGAGGTCTCCAGATTTCCCCGGCCACTCACACCATTGACAGGGAACCGTTCACGACTGGTATGGGCGGTCACAAATGTGGAAACACTGAAGAATCCACGTGAGGCAGGTGGCCAGGCCTGGCTGCCCAAAGCCTCTGTGTGTTGAAGCCGGCGATGTATGAGCTGGCTGGGCACGTGGTGGACAACACTCAGCAAAACACAGAGGACGCGAGAAGGCTGCCCCGCTACCTCATACACCCAATGTCACCCAGTCCACCTTGTGCAGTTGCCCTCACCTCTCAGAGTCAGAACTCCTAGAGCTCCTACCTCCGCTCAACCGCAGCTGCCTCAAGTGCTGGCCCCCACCGAGGATTTGGTCCGGGTGCGTTTCCAAGGCGAGTCTGGTGCCCTGACACAGTGCGGCACCTATGCCAGCGGCCTGCGGCGCTTCGGACGCAACGAGCTGCGTCGTGGGGTAAAAGCTGGCTAGTATGCTTGTGTTGCAGCGAGTGAACCTGTTTCTCGCAGCATTTGGGTTGCGAGAAGCATGTTGCGAGTTCTGGAAACATGTTGGACAATTTCAGATTGGCAGAGATTCTGGCACCTCGGGCACCGGGGCAGAAAACAAGCCGGTGCGATCCTGAGAATCGGCACGGCGAATTCGGTCACCGGGGGCGTCCACAAGGCCGCTTCGGCGCTGAAGGAAGGAACTCGTCCTGAGCGAACTGCCCAGAACCCCCAAGAAGGTGAAGCGCATGTATATCGCATCATGTATTATATAAAACACGGGCCTTTCACTGATTTTCACTCTAGATGTCTGTGTCCACTGTTGTCAGGGCTATTGTTTGCTGGGCTTTCAGCTTGACACAACATGGTGGAAGCAACCAATATATGCAGTCCAAGGCGGTGTCGAAAACTGGTAAATGTGAGGTCGGGGCACAAGCCACGGCATGCCAACACCTTGCGCGCTTTCCTTGACATTTTCCGAGAGGACTTGAGTGCGATATTTTCCTGTACACCAGAGGAGTTCAAGACATGTCAGACATTAAGAAGCGAGAGGGGAGACTCTGAGGAAGACACAAGGGTGACTACTGGCACCGGTAAGTGTGTGTTGTGGTCCGTGATTTTCACAGCAACATCAATTAGTGAACCTCACTTGTGGGGAATGGACTTGGACAGGGTCAACCAGCTGCACCCCACCAGGAGGGTCTCGCAGGGCTTTGGCGCGGGGCGCCCGCAAACGTGGCCCGAGCGGGGCTTTTGTCAGCTGGGCAGCTGGCCAGCTATGACCAAACGAAGCAGGCGCGGGCGGTCAGCGTGCTGTAGTGAGACAGGGTGCCAGATGTGAATGGCCAGTGGGTTGCCGGTCTTTGTTTGTTAACTCGATGTGCCAAAAAGGATGAGCTGACCCGGGGGATTTGTTGTGACCCTGGGTGCCCAGAGATGGGGCGGGGTGGCTCGCCTCCCAACGAAAATGAGAGGATGCACTAATGGAGCGCCATGGGGCGCCCAGTTGGAATCAGTGGAGTCATTTTAGTATTGTAGGTACATGTAGGAACAATGGAACAATCTATGTTTTGAGAGCCAGCTTCCTTCCGCTTCACGTTCGACCATTTGGACCTCTCCTCTCGAAACTCTTGGCTCCCCCTTCCCCACTGGTAGCCCGATGTTTCTTGCCCAAACGAGATTTGCGGGCCATTTTGGGGGGGGTTGAGCCACCATCTTTGGGACACCAGCTGGCAGTCCTCCTGCGTCAGGTTGCTCTAAAGGCCGGATGGACTGATGGCCCCCGCCTGCACTTGTGCTCCTCGTGCTTCTCTGGCTTGGTCGCACAGGTGGCATGGCCAGCCGTAGTTTGGACAAAACATGCCCGAACTCGGGATGGCCCAGAGTGAAGGATGGTTTTTTTCTCAGAACGTTATTTTTTTGCCAAGCAATTCCGACCAATGCTTCAACATTGTGCATGGCTTGCCCCGCTTGCCCTCGACTTGAGTGCTTGTACGGTCCATGATTTCGTTATCCGGTGATGAGTGGGTCCATCCAATTAGGCTATCACCCACTGGGCAGAAGACGGTGCCAAATGCGGCACCGTTTTGGAGTAAAGTAAAGGGTCCCGGCCCATGCCCGGCCTTTTTCTCTGCCCCGAGGTGGCCTGCATGCCGGCAGACGTGGTGAAGACACGGCTACAAAGTGGAGGACGTCATTACAGGGGCGTTCTGCACTGCGCCTGGGATGTGATACGAATCACGGAGTGAGCGAACCTTGACCCATGCTCTTTCGCGGTCTGAAACAGGAACCACTTACTGGACCGGGCGCAGGTCCGGACGACGTCGGGCCGAAGGAGGACAGGAAGGAGGACAGGACCACGCCCTATGAACTTGGACAAACAACCCAGCCATCCCCACTTCATCCCCTTTCTCTCTCTCTCATGTATCATTGCTCGCATGTTCAGTGTGCTTACTAATTATACATAAAGCGAAAGTATACATGGATAACTGGATCTGGATAACATCATATAACATCAGGGTTTGCATGTGGTCAGCCTTCAACATCCATGTATCAGAATGGAGATGAATGGAGATCCTTTTTTCGCAGAATATTGTCCACCAACACTCTTTACAAGGACTCTGACTCAGATGACAGTGGAGTGGGAAACGGCCAGCTATAAGATGGGTTTCAATCAGGGGTCATGTTCCCAAGCTCTAGGCAGAATACGGTCCGGTTCCTTTCTGGTACTGACCCTTTTTCTTGTACAAACCTCTCTCCGTTTCGGTTGCACTCGTGGCGGTCGCCGGCTTCGCCTGGAGGCCTCAGCCTCATGCTTCGCCACGAGCCGATCCTGGCCTTCTACCGTGGCTTTGGCCCGGCGGCGGGGCGTCAAGTGCCAGCGCCTTGGCACTGGGAGCAGCTCGATGGGATCGGGCAGGGGAAGCCCAAAGGGTTTGGGCGAAGGATGCGCACTTTTGCATGGCCAGGTCGGAGGCACATGGGGAATACCTGGAGCCCTGGTCCATGTAGCGAAAGGCCTGCCATGACAGACTTTTGGGCCAACTTTGCGGAGGTTTTGCTGCCAACTCTGTGAAGTGCAGAGGCCCCCATGGATACAGGTGGAGGCATACCGGTTGCCAGTTGGACTTTCAACAAACATCGCATGGATGAGGGTGATGTGATGCATAGCGCTTTTTCTATCTTTTTCTTTTCTGGCCGGTCTGGTCGCCTTCCCTGGACTTGCCTTAGTGTCCGCTACTCAACCTGCCACCATTCCGAGGTGATGGCAGTACAGATGCCCATTGTGGAGTACATCCGGAAGCACCTTTTCGGTTTGGAGTACTTGTAGATGGAGCGAAAAAGAGGGGGTTGCCTCATCAAGCTCATGAAGGCTTAGATTGAGATACAGTAATTATACTGTAGATATTGGACGTCTTGGATACTGGATTCCTGACAAACGCCAATTGGAAGGCTTGATTGAGCCTTCGGATTCTTCAATCCTGTATTCAAGTTTACAGATTGGAGACTCAGAGTTGTGTGATTGGAGACTCGGAGTTGTGTCCTGCATTCGTTTTCTGCAGACATTCATTCAACATGATTTCAACATCGGTGATGCCCCGCCAGTGATGCCACGTCCGGTCACGACCCGTCTCGGACGAAGCGCCGACCCGTTAACACCGTACGGTGCGCCGACCCTCTCGGCTCAGAGCGGACCGAGCTCGGCGGACCGAGTGGAGTGCAGCACCATGTCAGGCACGGCGGCTGCGCTTCGCCATGCGCAGCAGCCGAAACCGCTCGGATCGGGTGTGTGTGTGTGTTCATGGTTGAGAGGGCACTCCACCCAGCGATCGGAACGAAAAAGAGAGATCAGAATGGAGGTCATGGTTCCCATCCTGGTCCATCCTGGTGGGGTCCATCCTAATCAATGTAGACTCTTGCAATCCAAATTGGAGGGGGTTATTCAGCAAGAGTCTACAACAAAGCTTGTCCTTGATGCATCCTGGTGGGTCACCGACCAATTTGGGTCCTGTTCTTCCCTCACCGTTCCGGATGAGCCGAACACAGTGGAGTGGGGGCGGCTGACGGCCAGGTGCCAAGGTGGATCTCTCAGGAGGCGGCCCGAAATGGGAGGGATCCGGGGTCTTGAGCGGATTCCGATGGCGGTGGAGCGGTTCCTCCCGGGACGGTTTTTCTTTTTTGTCCTCACAGCTCCTGGGAACGAATGGAGGGTTTTGGAAGGAGAGGAGCCTGTAGGCCTGGGCAATGGCTACTTACTTGAACTGCTGACTCAGGGAAGGCTAGTCTTCACTCTCTGGTGGTGCAGTGCGTCAGTAGGAGCTTGATTCATCTCTAGAAGCGGTCAGAACCAAAAAGATGCACTTCCGTGAAGAACCACTTGAAGCCTGGATCAGCGGAGGGCGATCTTCCTAGGTGCCTCGGCACCACCGCCGACGCATGGCTATGGCGGCTATGGTGGAGGCGGGGATTTGGGAGAGACCAGGTGGCGTTCGTGCGTATTTGCTGGCGCATGCTGGCACTATCTGGCACTTCTTGGGTTCGACCCCTTGCACTCAGGTCAGCCAATGCTTGTATTATATTGAAGATATTAAAGGTGACTCTGATGGATTTTGGACCTGGTGGATTTGCATGACTTGCTCTTTCTCCGAAACGTTCATCGTGCATAGGTGGCGTGGCGCAGCCGATGGTCGAAGCCGCTATGTGCCTGGCCTGATTGGCGTTTTTTTTGGGGGGATGTCGTGGGCACAAGAACGCTCCTGGAAGATACCATGGAACAGTTTGATGATTGGGTCCTGCTGCCCGCGAAGGGACACATCCAGGGCCCCTGTGGGCTTATGTCTGCAGAGTTGGTCCTTCTTGCAGTGCATTCCTTTTGGGCCCTGTCGCCGGTCCAGAGGGCGGCAGGATGCTTTGGCAGCGTGTGGTCGACGGATGAGGGCTTGGATGCTTGCTTTTGAGCGTAGAGCTGTAGAGTAGGTTTAGTAGATTCTGGGCATTCACCCACCCAAGAAGATTCAAACACGCATAGAGAGACATACTGTATATCACACATATATCATAATATATTTAGATAATATAGTAAAACACACACACATGTCACACCCCCATACACACACACACATATATATATATATAATACACATGCACGTTTCTTTTGTCGGTGCGCGCCTTTCTTGATGTTCACTGTGACCTAGAAAATTACTGTTGCTAAGGGGCACCCCAAAGTGGAATTCCATACAGCTCCGTGTCGTGGCTGAAAACACCAGATACTCGCACTGTTTTGCTGCACGTGTTTCAGTACAGGACGCCGATGTGTTCTGCCAAGGCAAGACCCCACGGTGCAGCAACACATCAAGGACTGAGGAATTGGAACTATATATCAGGGTCGAGGCACTGCGGAATTTGTGTGTGATTCAACAACCTGATTTCAAATCATCTTCCCGGCTGAGACATAGATCAATCGGAGATCCCTAGACATCCCTAGACTCTAGGTCCTCTAGGTCCTCGAAATTCCATGTCGTGTTCGGTCCTTGATGTCCATGGGTCCGCTCCTACCTTTCCTTCAGCTAGCAGCGGGGCCCCGGCTCGGAGGTGCCGACGGGGAACGAATCCAGCATGGTTTTGATTGTGCATTTGAGTGATGATTCCGACCATGACTTTCATGCTGGCATCAATGGCTCACTACCATTCCGGCAACGGATGATCATGGATCAGCATGGAACATGGAGGCTGGAGTTACAAATGCGCCTAAGCCCCTTCCATCTTCCCAGAAAGAAATGCTAGACATGTTTTGTCTATATCGGAACCTGCAGATATGGGGTTCCTGACTTTCCAGCGCTCCTTCCCAGGAGGTGGCTTATCAGCAGGCCTCCGCGGGCTATGAGGCGGCGAAAGTGGCTGGAGCCATGGCCGCTGAGGACATGTTTTGCTGGGCGCTGCCCAACCAGAAATTGAAGATTTGAGGGGATTTTTGGACCTGGCAAGGTCAGATGCTTTGACCTGGCAAGGTCGGATACAGAACAGATGCAGATGGCAGCAGATGGCTAGATGGCTTGGGGCAGGAGGGGGTGGTCGCTCTTCAGGAGCTGGGGAAGTATATCCAAGAAGGCCCTGCCGGCATCTCAGTGCTATGCTTCTTAGGCGGGGATGCCGATGACGAGGTTGGGATCCGTGACGGGGTGGATCCGTGGGGTGAAGGGTGGAATTCAATTCGATGTACCCCACCAGTTTTTGTTGTGTTTGTTTCCTTCCATTTTTTTCCTGGGGGGGGGCATTGGTGGGTAGCCTGCCGATTTCAGCAGGCTTGAGAGCAATTGTTTTCTATAGAGCTGGCCGCTGTGAGCGCACATGTTTCCGGTCTTTAGAAAGCTTTTCATGCTTCAACCTTCGGCTCAAAAAGGACACGCATGGGGAATTCTACAATTCTCTTGCAACTGTGTTCTTTTTCAGGTCGCCTTTCAAATGCCAACCGTCAAAAGCAACATAGATATATCGATACAGTCACAGTAAATAAATTAGATACTGCATGTAAATAATTTACATTATATAGTTAATACGTGTTTATACTTGTAGGTGGTATATATGTACAATACTTGAAGGATTCATTCTTCATTTGCTGGCGCAACTTCTTCAGGAACATCCAAGCTTAGCAAGAAAAATGCGCAATTTCAACCATTCCGTTGACACATCCATTGTTGAAGCAGAAGCCAAGAGCCCCTCCAGTTACAAAAACACTTCTTCGTGCCATCATCCCAGATTACTCTCAAGTCACTGAATGAGGGTTGTAGAGGTCGGATTTTTGGTTTGCAACCCTGGCATGTCTATATAGATTCTAGATCAATTCGAATGGTTTGGATTCTCCGTCTTCACCTCTGGTCTACTCCACATTCGGCCCCAAAGAGCGTTTCGAGCGCGGAGACGCTGCCTTGGGAGCCCAGGCGGCATGGCCACGACCTTGATCGGCTTGTTGGGCCTGCTGAACTTCGGCAATGGCCGCTCTGCCCCACTAGGGACGGGGGCGCAGTGAAGCTGGGTGCGAAGCGAGTGGCGCCAGCTGGGTCCCTGGGACCTCACCGAGTGGGACGAGAAGACGGTCGGAGCCATACAGTATCATTTAGAACGCGCGTTTTCCAGATTTGTTGAGCCTGGGGGTCAGCAGCAACTTGTTGACTTCAGGGGATCGAATGCAACAAAAGCAAGACCTAAGAGCTTTCCTTTTTTGGGGGGTGAGTTGGCTTGAGCTGACAGTTTGAGCTGCCTTCCTATGCCCGCAGCCGATCAAGGGTGGTTGTGTTTTGTGTCAACTCCCAGGCTTCACCTCTCCTTTTCAGTACGTGCTGATGCTTGGCTGCACTATGTGGAAGCTTACGGCTGTCATGGCCTTCCATCAGCTTAAAGAGCTGGCCTGCATTCAGTTTAATGTTGGCAATTGATGACTTGCTTGCTCCTAGCTTTCATCATTTTGCAGCTTCTCTAGCCCAGATCCCGATCGATGTTTCCCAGGAATGCCTACCTCATGGTCTTTGGCATAGTCACCTTCCTCTTAGAGGTGCCATGCAAAACCGCCCAATGGCCCAATGTAATTGGCTCTGAGTCATGATGGCTCAAGGCCTCAAGGGTGTCTTCGAAGAGGTCACCACAGGCCTTTCACTAAAAGGTCAGGGGAGGACCACTTGGCTACGTACGCGGCTGTGATCGGAGGTCATGACTGTCAATCCACCTCAAACTCGACTGCATCTTGGCAGACGGTGCCAGGCAGATGTGGAAAGTCTGCGATCAATGAAGGTCTTGGGCAGATTGCCGCTTGGACTGCCTGCTCGTTGTCAGCCAGCAACGGGCAAAGTAAGTACAAATATATATATATATATATTCATATATAGTTTCTTTTCTTAGTTAGAACATCAACCGACCCAATGGCTAGTGCCCAGTGTGCAAGCGGCCAAGCCACCAAAAGGACATGACGCGGAATCGGGCTGATTTCTGCCTAGCTTCTGCCTGCTGTATCTGCAGTACCTGCAGTGGCCCTAGGAAAGACAAAACCAAACATGGAGATGTGTCCACTCTTCTGGTACGGGGGTGTTCCTTATCAAAAGGCTCGATTATAGATACACTCTTTTTCTTCTGGCACTTGAAACAGTTGACTAGCAAAAGGAGGGGCAGCTCATCTCTGGGAGAATCCCTTGATGTCCTCAGAATTCATCCTATTTTATTTAAACATATCATCAATCTGCGGTGATTTTGTCAAGAGTAGTAGACAATACAAATTTCAACAGGTGGTTGGTAGAAGCCAACCAGCGCCTGTCAACAGGTTTGTGCCATCTAGTCTAAAACGGTCGTTTTTCACAGGTTGGTCACCTACCTGCCGTTTAGAGCATTTCAAACAACGGTGACCAGCTGACCCGGCTTCATCGGGTTGAATTCCACTGAACAGAACTGTGAACTGAAAGGGGTCGAATTCCTGGCTGCATAAGGTTTAATAGGGCTTATATAACCTATATACGTTATATAGTGGCCCGGCTTATACAATTGCTAGGGCTCAATAGGGTATACCCCGTTTACGGTTGACCCCCTTTAACCGTCCTGACGGCGTCACGTGACACGTCACGGACCGAGGTCGCCCTGGGTGGAACGCCCCTTGGAGTGAGGAGAGCGTGGATCCATGCAGATCGGAGTGCGAAGCCTTTTTCAAGCTTTGTTGATCCCAAAACGGGGTGAAAGACCGTTCCATCGTATGAACAAATTCCGCATTCTTCTGACGCATGGGGGGTGTGCCACCCAGAAAAGGCCGTGGAAGGCTACGTGTCGGCTGAGGTTATCAGCTTGAGGTCTTCAATCGGGCCAACTTTCTGACCGAGCTCAGAGGCAGAGGCTTCTTCTATGTGCAGCTTGGCTGAGGCAAGTGGAATGACGGGGGAATGACCAACACTTCAGGGTCCGTACTCACGACGTCACAGGTACGGCACGGTTTGCTGGTTTCGAGCCGTGCCATGCAACTGGAAAACTCAGGTTCATAGGGACCTTGGCAGTGACACAGCTGCTAAGCTGCACAGATGTGGGATCAGTGGGCAACTCTGATTCGTGACATCGCTATCGAATATCGGTGACACCAGTGGTGTTGAGCAATTCGATCCCAACAGGCTGAGGCAATTTCTGGCCCATGGCCATCGACATGTGACCTTCTCGGCCTTGACTCGCCCCGCGGGTGCGGTGCACCGGTCCCACGTCAACGATGCTGGTTTGGTCACCCTTCAGGTGCTTTATTTGCCTGACCTTCGTGGCTGGGCTCTGGAACCTCCTCATGGGAATTCTGTGTTTGCTGATGCTTGGCAGCGGTGGGGTCTGGTGGGTTGTCACACTCTCAGTGGGCTAAATACGGGGTCGCCACATGCTGTAAGATGCTATAAGTAGGTGCAGTCCGAGTCAAGATGCCAGCATCCAAACACTTGGTTCACGTTCATGTGCGAGCTTTGACTAACACCAACCTTGAGAAAAAACACCACAGGACCCCAGATCAGACCAACAACGACCAAGAGTTCTTGCTTTGGTCAGATCTGCCAGATCTGCACCAGTTCTAATGGTTCCCCACTGGTGCAGCGCGACCCCACTTTTCGAGACAAGCGAGGACACACCAAGGAAAAGCACATGTCCTATCCAAGTAGCATAGCTGTGGCACCTTCCAGCCGTTTTGTGCGACCTAGGATGAGCTTTGGCATCAATCCAGCCAGCCATCTCCAAACACAGGGCCAGCCTGGCCAGCCCTAAGCACAGCAGAGGCTGAAGGTCTGTGGAAGCTGACCCAACGACTCCACTGGACGGAAAAAAGCGTCCTGGTGGCCCCAACTGCGACAGTTGCAAGAGGAAAGACTCTTCGTTCGCATTTCAGCATATTTCAGCCATTTGACCCAATTGTAGCACTTGTAGCAGTTAGCAAGACAAGTGACAAGATCAAGAGTTGTCCGATGCTGTATTGGTCAGACTCAAAGGTCAGCCGGAGAGTTGGCAGGGCATCCCTTTCTTTACTGCACCCCATGGCAGGAAAGAATCTGTTTAGTTGCCAATGGCCAATGAATAAGACCTTGGGTTGGGGCCTGTGGAGATTCCTTCGGAAGAAATGAGAGTTCCGGGCCCCAGCGTGCCAAAGACGCGGTGGGTGGCACGGTCATTAAACACGTGATGCGTGCCAATTCGGAATTAGGATGATTGGATCTGCCTGGCCGGCCGCTTGGACGAATTCCTTTGGAAGAGTGTTGTAATTAGTATATCGTTTCACGGTGTTTCCACCAGCAGCTCAGCAGTCACAAGACGGGGTGCTATCCATGGAGGTTAGGGTGCCCAGCTACTCCACTCACTGGATGGGACTAAACACCACCCCGTTTTCTTAAACCTTTTCAAAAGCTTGGCTTTGATCGTCTTATCCACTTTTGCGGGATTCTTAGGGGGCCCACTCCGGGCCCAAACGATCCAGCGGATGCTTAGCACCCTGCCGGGGCGCTGCGGTCCGAGAGCGCCCGCCGCCACAGCCCGCGGTTCGGCGGGTTGTGTGCGCAACCAGTTGCGCAACCTGCAGAACTCCACGGAGCGCAGGAGAAAGACATGGCAGAGCGTGAGGTGTTTGAGGATCTTTTTTTCAGCAATCGAAACCATCCCGTCCCGTTCGATTAAAACGGCCGAGGTTGATGCGGTCGAAGACGCAGTGGTCGAAGCTGGCTTTTGCCTCGGGTGTTCGGTGTTCGGGGTACAGTTTTTGCAGCATAAGCAGGGGGACAAGGATTCAAGGATTCCAAGCGGACCGTGCTTGTATTCCGAGCATTCTCGGCTCATGTGGAAGGGAGCGCTCAACCTAACACTCAGCCGTTGGGACAATTGGGCCAGATGAGCTCGGCGGAACTGGTCCAGTTTAGGACTCCCTCTTTCAGGTGTCAAGTTCGCAGGGGGTCTTCCCAAACATTCCATGATCCGGCCTAAACCTGGGTCGTGGGGGAAGACTCTTCTGGCAAAGGACTGGGTGGTTTTCCGAAAGGTCTGGACATGTCTGGACACAAGATTAAGGAGACTAGGAAAGGCGTTACTGTAAGTGTTGGTTTGTTTTAGGCAGCCACTACCTATTATAGCATCCTATAGTATAATATAGTATAGATGTATAGTAGATGAAAACTGTCTAGCCAATGGAAGAAACCGATGAGCCAGTAGATGAGCGCCTACTAGTTAGCGGTCCCCTCGTTGACAGGACCGGGCCCACAAATTCTGCCGAGGTTGGACGGAGCAAGAGCTCGCATGGTCCTTGGCCACAGCATGGGCCTTGGCATGCGGCAATGAGAGAGGTTGAACCACTACCCATGCAGTCATAGGTCATCTCAGAAGAAGCAAAGCGCCGGAGAGACGGCAGTGGACTGGCTCCGGGGAGTCGCTGGCCGACCCACTGTTCCTAAGAATCCTGCCTGTCAACACTCACCCAGCAAACGGAAATCCTTACGGGGGGTGACTGGACGTCCAATGTGTTTCATGTCAACGTTTCAGCTCAAGTACAGTTGGGATATCCTGAAGTATGAGCTACATAACTGTATGAGCAGTGTATAGTCATAACTTTCAGCTCCAAAGAACACCGTATGAGCGGCGTAGGTCCAAAAGCTCTCCAACGCAGCCCTGTCCGTGGCCCTGGCCGACCGGGTCGTCCCAGGACGTGTTTTGACCTTGTGATACATTTGGTATACCGAGCCGTTTGGCCTTGCTGGCCAGAATCGGAGGCTCCGCCCTCAAATCGGTTCCCAAGCCGTTGGGCTTGATATGCCCAGACGGCTGTGGTATATCATTCTTGCACTCTGTCGGGTGTGTCCGACCTGCGGCGAGTGGCCCGAGAAGGCCTCTCCCCGCGGCGCGGACGAACTGACTGGCCTCAGGTGGTGCCTCCTCACCCACCACCGGGGGGACCCGAGGGCGCCGAAGGCTTTGGTTTTGTGCCGCATTTTCCTGATAGGCGATGAGAGGGTGTGATATGTTATGAGTATGATAGGCTATATGATCGACTTTCCTTGTTCGGGGCGATCTTGTGGCTATGCTGGCTATGCTATGATTGCCTTTGGGAGGCCGGTTCTTGTGAGGCTGACGACTGCCGGACGGAGGCGCCTTTGGATTTAGGTCTTCCTTCCTTCATTTTCTTTACGGTTTGCTATTTCAGATTGGTTTTCGGACAGTACTATCTAGTATTCTCAGAACATCATGGAACAGTCAAGGGCTTTGTTGATGCACTCCCAGGTTCTTGATGATTATCAGCCTTAGCAGCCTGAACTGCGGGCATGATTGACTACCACAAATTCATCGCAAATCACACGCTAAGAAGTCCCTCAAAAAACTTCATAAGCCTAAACATGTCCTCTTTTGGACCATGATTTTCTGGGGGTAACTCTGATCAATGCCCTGAAAAAGAATTCCTTTTTTGGGCACGTCCCTCTGAGGCTCCACAAGGGCCGGAGGTCTGGGAGCGCCCAAGGAGAGATCGTTTCGGAGTGCAGACGGAACCGCTGTTTCCGGCGACGACCCCAAATGCCCAAGTCAGATGGTCTAGTGGAATACGAGATATGGTGCAAGAGCTCCTTCGAAGCATAGGAAGATTGATGAAGATTGGAACTCAAGACATGTCGCAGGACTTGTTGGCGCTGCGATGCAAGGTGCCTCTTTCACCTTGCTGGGAGAGTCAATCCCGAGAAGTCTTGGAGGAGTGTTGAAGACATTGATTAGCCCAGCTGACAACTAATAGCAATGCATCCACCAAGATCTGGCGCATTTTTCGTATTTTTCGCATGATTAAGCTGATTCCTGGTCACAAATGATCTATCACCTCAACCCTTTTCGCAAGCCCCTTGCGTCCGAGCTCTTTCCCACCCAGCTTTCAGGGTACCCACTGGCCGCTCCGTGTGTACAAGACACACTGGACCCTCACACTGGGCCCCCTTGAATCACTGGACCCGGCCGTTTTTTTTGTGGACAACATGTTTTCACGATTTTGTTGCATCGATGGATGTTTCAGTTTCAATACTGATCTCATAATTGTTTTTTGGAGTTTCAAGCACGTTTTTGATGAGAGCATCATGTTCAGCTTTACAAAGCCGGCCTGTGCCAGACAATCGTGACATGATTGCTGTGTTTAGCAGTTTTCAGATTGGCAAGTCAAGCATGTCTAGTGTATATGTATATACGCATTGCTTGAATATAGCACATATGTTGTATATATACAAATTAGATCTATCTATATATAAAGTATATATAACTCCATTCACAGGGCTCAGGGCCAGTCCAGCCGCTGTTGCGGAAAGATACTGCACGCCGGGCGCCGGGCTCAAGATAGAAAAGAAAACAGATGCCGAACGATGCTGTGGCGATTCTGGATGATATCGGCGAAGCTGAAGGGATTCGAATCGAACATGAATGAACATTCTTCATGGACCGTGATGAGTGATGGGCTGGAGTTACATCGGCACCCAACGCAGAGCAGCAGAGCTGCCCTTGACATATAGCCAAACAGCCTAAATCCGCACAATGCATGATGAAGAGGTACACTGACCCCATAGGAAACCCCGAAGCCCCACACCTGCCACCTACCAGAATTTGCTTCAAAGTGCAGCCCAAACACTGGACAAGTCTTGTTAGCTCGATTTCTTCGTCCCACGAGCTTCACAAGACTGGAAAACTAACTGAACTGTCCACCCCTTGTGCCAGACTTCCAACCCCAAAAGCTTGGTGCTTTTGCATGCTTTTGCCGCATGGTAGGCCGCATGGCCTACCACTGTGAAGTTTCTACAGTAGACAGAGTTCCATGGAAGGTGTTCCATCGCTTTAGAGGGCACTGCACGATGCCATGGCCAGCTTCAGAGAGGGCAAGCTCTTCCGGGCGCCTGGGCAAAAAGAGGGCTACAAGGAGATCTTTTCATTTTGGATCCTCAAAGATTCGGACATTGCATGATTGCTCCGGCCAAGCCGCCAGGGCTTTTTCCATTTTTGACCACGTCATAGGCTGCTTTAGAGGCAGAGGAGGCCGCCGTCGGTCAGTGTCTTGAAGAGATCGTGCGTGCGGACGTGAGGCACCACATGTGGCTGAAAGTAGAACAGTAGTCTTTGGTGGGTGGTGATAGGGTTCAGGACCATCCAACGCCACAGCTGCCATGACCACCAGACCCCACACTCCATTGACTGAAGTTTCTCCTGAAATACTTGCTTGCGATATGCATGCTACAATGCAGGGGAAGGGTGCTCAAAGGAATCACTATGAACCACTCACTCGTATACAGTGTTGTTGTCCCTTCCGTCAGCTTGAAGATGCTTGAAGCTCACGCAGTGGCGGCATATTTTCTCAGCTTTGGGATCACACAGGCGCTATGAAGAAGGCAAGATTCCTTGAACACTGATTGCTTTGAACCAACCAGCAGTCCTCATGAACATCTACATCCTCCACAGTGTCTTCTCAGACTCGTGTCTTCACAGCAGCCACTGCATCCAAACGGCCCCCCTAAATCCAAAGCAATGGAGCAGCCGGGCAGCTCAGTGAAAGTATATACCCCAGCACCCATGCCAACCGCAAACATAGATCAACGTGGTGCCTTCATGAGAGTACGCTATCTCAACTACGCACTCCCGCGGCCTTGCCGAACCCCGCGGCCTTGCCGAACCGGCGCGAAGATCCGCCATGGAGCCGAAGGCGAGATGAGCTCATGCCGCCCAGGCCGGGGCGTTCGGAGCCGCTCGCGGCGGAGCTGCCGGCAACCGCCAGGGTCGTTCCGTGTGAATGCGGGGAGGGGAGGCAGGGTCGTGGTTTCCACGGGAATCGCACCCGGTTGGACCCCTCAGGTTGACGGTTTGAAAGATGTTAAATTTATGGATCTTATTGAATCTTGTATGATCTTGGGTCTTTGCCTACTCTGACAGTCCGGGCACGACTTTTGCCGCGCCGTGGCGTCTTTCCAGGAAGCTACGGGAGTTCAGCGTGGTGGTGGCCTTGGCCACGCTGATCCTGGTGGCTTTCTGTGACTCGCCGAGAACGGTCCCTTCTCGTCTCCGGTGTCGCTCGGTGGTGCGGCGCGGTGGAGTGGTTGCTGCACATGCGGTCCACCCCAGGTGTAGCAGTGCAAGCCTTGGTCGTCCGAATCGAAGCTCCGCCCAGGTATTTTCTTCGTTCAGGTGGAGAACGTGTCTCGGATGCATGATGATGCTTGTGAGGCTTGTGCTGATGAACATGTCCAGATTGTCTTGCAACCCTGGAGGCGTGTGTAAAAGGCATTGGAGTACCCGAAGATGGCAGATGATGTCAAATCCATACAAGACTTGTGATTCATTTGTCTCTCCATACAATCTCGTTGACCCATCCTCTACCGTGAACCATTTTGAAACTGCTTGCATATTATATATATATACACTATATATGATCTGTTACATATATGTAAAGCCAGGCCTTCATCAACTTACCCGCTGCTTGCCAGGTCACTCTTTCTGCTTGTGAAACTCTTGGGCGGGCTTTGACCCACGTCCACTTGCATTCACATGATTTTGGTTCATCCACCCTCCCCCAACGGCAGCGTTGCGTCCAAACCATCATTCCACCAGTCCCAGGATCTTCAACCTGTGGCTTCGCCACCGTTTCGCTTCTCGGTGAAGCTCGCTCGGCTCCGAGCCAAGCCCAAGGAGACGAGGCGGCGGGGGGAGGGCCAGGCAGGGACAGAGGGATATGCAATGGGCATCCAGGAGGCAATGGGCATCCAGGAGGTATACATTCTAAACTCTAGACATGCATGTACGACACGCGGAGAGTCCATATATATATATATTTATATACAGTATATACACATCCATATACTATAGACATACAGTATATGTATTATACATATACGCATATGTTCCGCAATTACGATTTACACTGTATGCACACACATAGAGAGTACAGTATACAGGTACACATCTTCCCGTTTATGAAGGGGAAACCTTGCAGAAGTACAATGAACTTCCGACCCAGGCCGCTTCTGGAAAGGGCCCGCAGACCGAGAGTTTATACTTCTTGGCAAGTTCAGGTGCGGCACTGGTTTCCTGAAACCTTGCCACCAAGCATACACGGAGCGTTTCCCAATCTGAAGCTCGGACCAAGTAAGTGTTCCATAGTGGGCCTGCTGCACCAAGCTTCATCGATCCAGACTGGTGCATGGGTCCAGTAGGTGTCCGAATGCCAAGCGGCCGAAACGGGAGTTTCAGCGGCCGGCGCGAGAGTTTCGGTGCCCCATGGTGCCGTCCCCCCTTGTAAATAATGTTTAGCTCGTATCAGGTAGCTGGTCTGAACTATCAGAAAGCAAGCCTCCCAGAAAATGCAAAAAGTCAGGGTTCTGGAGGCACAAATGGCAAATCTCACCCCGAAAACTTCAGAGTGATCACTGAGAGATGTTCCTCAAGGAATAGCTAGAAGAGCTTTGCCGCCACTCAACTCTTGTAAATCCAAGACCTTCCAACATCCATGCCAAACCCAAACATGTTGTTCAATAAACTTCTTATAGAAAGCTTCGCCTCAACAGTCTTGCAAAGGATGCCCCTTACAAGTGCCGGACCTTCGTGCCCAAGATACACAATACAAAAAGGGTTTCAACTACCCATGGGCGATGGGGTGGTCCACATGACTGACGTTCATTCGGATCGGTCCATCGTCGGTTCGGCCTCCAGCTCCAGGATTCCTCAGCAACTGGTCCTGACGTCCAAGGACGTCCCGTGAGTCGTTGGAGTCGCAATGGACCCGCGATTCTTCCGGTTAACACACGGGTTCATTCGGCGTCAGGATTCTTGAGGGCGAAAGCTCCTGAAAGCCATGGCTTGGACAGAAATCCATTATGTTTTTTTGGGGCTTGGCCGGCATACTTAGGAATGCCACCAGTGCCAAATCCGTACCCTGCGCCAAATCAAACCAGTCAAATGCAAAACAGGCCGTTGGGGGCCCGAAATCATCGTCGTTCGTGTTCGCTTGGACCCAACGCCCCAAAAAGACCGGCCACGTGGTAGGGCCGACCAATAGGACCATTTGGAGGAGTATCATATTTAACATCATATAACTTATGACTCATGACTGTCTAATTTTAACTCAACAATAACATCAAAATCAGAACGGGCTGGCTCAGAACCTCCAAGAGTCTAGAAATCTCTGAGGTTTTGGACGTTGTAGAGTTCCTGTCCGAACAGAGTATTGATTAGACATGATCATGTGGAGGAGTCTAGATTTGATATTTGACAGGGTGACTAGGATCCAGTATTTGAATCTGAACCACCTTTGAATCCTCCATAGGGGGGCACGTTGCCCCCCGCTTTTCCACCTTTTTTGGATGGACGAACGTGACGCTCTCTCAGACCAAGCTCTCGTCCTGGACGTTGGGAGCCGTGAAAACGGGTGGCGAAAACGGCACCCGAAAATGGCTTCGGAGTTTGTTTTTTCCCGGAAACTTCTGCTTTCCAAAGCGGCCTTGAACCCAGGGAATCAAGGATGCCCCAGTTCAGCTTCTGTCCCACTCAAGATTCAACCAAATGATGCAGGCTTGAGCGGCTTGGTTTTTTTCAGGGCATGTCAGGGCTTCTGGGGGCTTGGATCTCACTGGATGACATGGATCTCACTGGACATCGGCCCGCCTTGACCCCCTCAAGTTTTGGGTCACTTGGATTTCGGAAGATCCCTTCCAGGATGGCTCCATCAATTCCCTCCCGGTGGCAGTGCAGCGGAATGTGCGGCATACGCCCCTAGGCCTCAGGAACAGTGGAGCATGCCTGCTGGATCATTTGCTAAGCTACACTTCCGGCAGGGGATCCCCATAGCTCAATTTCTGCACACGCTGATATGCTCCTGCCATGTCATGTGTGCATGCACGAGCGCGTTGCATCTATAATATTATGTTTTGTGTGCATGCTGGTTCAAACTCAGAAACAACAGTAGACATGGATATGATATGTATCACATTGTATAACACATAATATAGTATGTTTTGTTGCAACACACATGCATGGTGGCCCATGAACACATTTATCTTCATGCATTCACGCACATGCAAGGTAGACAATGTATGCATGTGGTTTGCCGGCAGGGTCTAATTGCTACTGGGCAGCTGAAACAGTGCAGAATCATGTTTTCTTCTACCAGCCATGGTCACACAAAATTGCACGGGACAACTCAAAAATGCCCTCCAGTTGAGCCAGTTGAGCTGAGAATATGGATCTGGATCTAGTTGTTAATAAAACATGAGGCAACTTCCTTCATTGAAACGCCAAACCAAGCCATCTGGGTGCGCCACATTGACTAAGGATGGCACTGAACCCTTGGGTCAAGGTGCGCTTTTTGGGCGACCAGGACTGCGAACGTGGGGCCCCCAGTGGAGGTTTGAAGGTCTTGGGAGGATAATTTTTTGAGTGTTTTTTGTTTCTCCTGGTCGGCACCGTCCAAGGGAGGGAGGGAAGGAAGGAAGGCATCGAGAAAAGATTGACGAGGAAGAAAGAATATATAATCGGGATAATATATACAAAGAAGGGTACAATGCATTCACTCGCTTGTGTGCTTTCTGGTTTTGGCCCCGAGAGAACAGGGTGTTTGGGACGTTTTGAGTTGGAAGGGCCCATTCCAACGTAGAGCATTTTTGTGAAGGAAGGAACCATGGAAACTTGGAAGGCCTTCTGGGAGCCGCCGGAGGGTAAAACTTAGAGAAGAAAGGGCCATGAAAACCTGGCATTTCCTGTGTGAGCCGCACTTGGTAGCATACCTTTGTGAGGGGGTTCAAACATAGCATGCCCGCCCGAAGGTAAAATTCAGAGGAGGAAGAGGCCACCCCAACCTAGAGTATATTTTTGTGGGGCATCCAAATAATTAATGGAAACAGCGGCCCGAATCCTATCATTTATATAGAGCAGGAAGACCATTCCAATGTAGCACACCTTTTGTGAGCCATCCGCGGTTAAAATATGTTAAAATTTACCTTTTGTGTGCCACCCGAGGGTAGAATTTAGAGCAGGAAGAGACCATGAGCATACCTTTTGTGAGCCACCCCACGGTACGATTTAGAGAAGGAAGAAGGGCGCCATTCCGGCGTAGCATGACTTTTGTGAGCAACGAGGGCAACAACTAGATGAGGAAATTCCAACGTAGCACGTTTTGTGAACCACCCAAGGTTAAAATTTAGAGGTTGAAACGTAGGACGTAGGATGCCTGTTGTGAGCCGTGTTCCAAGCTGGCATACCTTTTTTGACGAACCGGTGGGGCAAAAGTTAGAGGAGGAAGGAACCATTTAGCTTTTGTGAGCCATCCGAGGGCAGCATTTAGAGCAGGAAGAAACCACTGCAATATTTAGGGAAGGAAGGGGCCATTCCAACGTAGCATACCTTTTCTGATCAAACGTAGGATGCCTTTTGTGAGTTGCATGCGGGCATAATTTAGTGGAGGAAGGAACCTTGGAGACGATACATACCTTTTGTGAGGCACCCTATAGGGGCTAATTTCCAAGATTCACACAGCGTTGCGGGCCACGGGAAGAAAACATTCCACTAAAACCCGCGTTCTTTTGGGATATAAATCTAATGTTGCCCAATTTGTTGCAGTAATGTGAAAGATGTAGACAAAAAGCCAATGCAAGATAATGCAAGTGGATGCTCAGGGCCACCAGGTTTTTGCAATTTGACGCAAGACCTGGATGCTAAGATCAGCAAGGTTCACAAAGTGCCGCGCCTGCCACAAAATCTGCATTTCCAGCCGTCCCGGCACCAAAAACAACACACATATATCTGGGCCCAGGGTCTTTACCAGTACGCATCGAAGCAAATCATGCAGCAAGTTGAGGTTGCGGTGCTCCCAAGCAAGGTAGGAAATGGTAGAAATCGGTGTCCAAAACATATTGACGGGGCAAACACTTGTCCAATTGATCAAAAGTGGAGAGGGGACTTGGACTAAAACGCAGGGAAACTTAGTGAAACTTGCGATCACAGTTTGTTGCCTTTTCCTTTTTGTTTTGTCTCATTTTCTTGTGTCAATCCGCATGGCGAATTTCGTTGAATCCTCCAGCCCGCGTTGGGCGAGAGATCATCTCTAATGACTCTAATATCTCTACCATGGCTTGGAGGGATTAATGTGCTGGTAGCGGCATAGGTGTGAGCAAGATAACACTTCCAAGAGCTGGCCAAAAAGACCAATCTCGGTTTTCTCCTGGCTCCTACTAGGTAGCAGCGTGCCTGCAGCGTTTCCCAATTTGTTCAATCATAATGTTTGATTTTTTGCTCCACACCATGAAGTGCCATAAATTTTTGCCAATACTGATTATGATGACTGCTGGGTTTTTGGGGAACTTGCCTAGCCGGCCCAGCCTTCCTGCTACCGAGGTTACTTGCTGCAGCACTTCAACCATACTCAGCTCCCCCTTTTCTTCAATCAGGAGACCAGGCGCGGGGTTGGCGAGATTCACTCAGGGTCTGGAGGTGACGATGGATGCGATGACGATCGACTGTCAGTGGCCGCTATGTTGCATTCTGTGCCATTCTGTACCTATTGTTTGTTGTGGTCATGTGCTTCCCGTCCCCGGAGTAGTTGAAAGTTCCCTCCCCCAAACAAGCATTTCACCTGAATCCAAGGCACCCTGAAGAAATGCATCAACTGGGTTCGATGTTGAAAAAAAAGGTACCATCCCATGTGCGACGTCATCAGCCAAATGTGTGCTGTCGGCCATTCAACCCAAGTCTGGTGGCCCGGTGGCACTGTTTCCGGCAGGGGCTCCTATCGGAGTGATGTGTGCCGAGCGGCGGTGCTGGCGCGTGAAGGCGGCTTCTACACGGACTTGGACGTGGTGCCTTGAAAAAAACGCAGTGGGTGGAGTAGGGAATCTCCAAGTGAACCATTGAAGCATATTGAAGCCATAAATAGCTAGCAACTAGATGATGGATGATGACACATGATCCTGAGGCATCATAATTAATTATAGATATTAGAGCTCATTTAGATAATGTGCAGAAGTAGCGAGGTCTCATAAGGTAGTTTGCCTGATGAGATGTTTGAGAGGGAGGCGGTGATTTGCATTTGCAATCATTTGCATAATTCAAGTGTTGTTCTTCTATGAAGTTGGAAGCCATTGGGGTGGTTTTGGGTGGACAGAGTTGGGATTTGCCTCAACGAGGAGAGCGGTTTTACCGTGGTTGATGACCTGATTCTTCTTAGACTCCTAGTCCCAAACCCAAAAAAGGGAAGCAGCACGCACGCATCTACTGTCCTCCGTCCTCCCTTCCGTCCCAGACGGAGCCGAGGAAATGAAATGGAAGTTCGAGGACCTGGCCGGCAACGCGACCACCTTCTTGGCGAGCTGGACGGAGGACCGTGACGGCCTACCGTGTTTCGCTGCTCCTGTGGCAGCTGACGCGGAAAGGTATAGAAATGCTGTAGAATATGGGACCAGGAACGATCTCCCGCTCCTTACAACCAGGGCCTACATAATTTCTACTTGATTTGGTTGTTTTTTTCCCTTCTCCGACTGGTTCTTTTTGTCATCAGGAAGTTGGTAGCTCAGGAACACATCTCTCTACTGCTATATGAAGGTTCACATGAACAACTTCTTGCCTCCATCGTCCATATTTGACAGCCTGCACCCAGACCCATCCCAGTACGGGATCTAATACCCTGTTGGGCATGGCAAGACTGGCCTTCCATGCGGTGTCTCCGAGCCAGTCAGCGAGTCCCGCGAGGATGGCTCCGTGTTGAATGCCATGATGGGCTGCACAGCCAACTCCTCCTTCATGCTGGTGGGGGGCACCCAAGGTTTCAGAAACCCAGTGTAATGCTCAGGTGGTGAGAATCTCAGGGTGAGGATAGTCAGGTGGTGAGCATCTTCATGACCAAAGCTTCAAGCTGCCAAGTCTGATCAACTCTCCAAATGACAGAGGTTCCGTCCATCCCATTTGGTTTTGTGGTGTGGCATTGCTGGTGGTTATTAAATCCCGTGAGCACTCACAGCACAGGTGTGTATTATAAAGAGGGCGGGAGGGAGGGAGGGAGGGAGGGAGAGAGAGACAGAGAGAGAGAGAGTAGGTCCACACTAGTTAATCTACTTACTCTTCCGCACACATACCTAGAAGCAGAGCATCAAAAACAACAGCATATATGTTAGCAGAGCCTCAACCCAAGAAATGCCACTAACATAGAAAACACCTCTGCTTGACTTCAGCAGCATCTGCAGTGCCATGTTAGTGGTAAAGAAACTTGTTTTCTTGCACAAACCACTGGCATAGCAGTCACGAATTTTGGGAGGGTCACAGGTCTATCCTAGGAAGAGATGTGTATGTGTCTCAATTTCTCTGGTCATTAGCTGTCGTTGGCCTGGGTGTCGGGTTCAAAGCTGCATGAAGGATGTACAGTAGCCCCGAGCCAAATGACTTACCCATATCAAGCTGAAGGATATCAAACTGATAGCTACAGGAAGGCCACACCAGGGAGGCCAACACATGCAGTACGGCTTCCATGTTAGTGGGGGAAACTGTGCATGTCCACGGGTTTCCTTCCACTTCCATGTTTGTTTTCTCTTCTATTTTTCTTAGACGGTTTCCCAACATAGCAGCTAGACATATAGGTCTGCAGTGCCATGTATGTAGGTCATGTTTGGTTCCTGGCTTCCATGTATATGTGCAGAAGTGAATACGCACTAATCATATTTTGATTGATTCACATTAGTGTTGTTGATGTGTTATGTTACTGTAACATTGCAGACTTGTAGGTGCATTCCTGTCCGGCAGAGTTCCAATTCCTTGCAAGCATGGCTGAGGAAGTGATAGAGCAACTCCTGAGATTCTACAAGTGGGGGGGCCCGGTTCATCGGGATGCTCCATCTTTGGAACGCTGTCTTATTTTTTCTGGGGTGATGATCTCACACGAAAAATACGCCGAACACACATAGAACACTCATACCTTCGCCGTGGTCGCTTCAGGACGAGGTCCGTCCGGGTCGGCCCGTCTCTGGCTCCGTCTCAGGGGAGAGCCCGTGGAGCGCTATGGGAGCACCAGCGAGTGGATGGGCCCGGTGACCGCCTTGGCGGGGCTCAAGGCGCGGATGCGACCGGCGCTGACAGAGCGACTGTCACGGGGCGCGTGGGGCGGCGACAGACCGGCTGGAGAGTGCCTGATGATGTAGACGTTTGAATCTGACAAAGGCTTCCCAAGTGAGGAGGGGTGACACTCCAAATGGGGGTCGCCATAACATGCGACAAGGGATGGTGTAGAAGCGCCCAGGACCCGCAAGTGAGTGCATCCAAATGGGGGTGGTCTTGATTGATCAAGAGTCTTAAAAGTCAGCTGCTGGTGCTTTTGTTCATGGGATTTATTTGGTTGACGTATATATACCTGGGGCTTCAATTGTAACCTTTTTTTCTGCTACGAGAAATTTACAAACGTTTGATCCAATAAGTGCGACCTATAGGAAAAAACGCTCGACCTTAAAAAAAACGTTCGAAAGGGTTAGTTGGAGATGATGAACATCGTGCACATCACTGTCGACATCAACTTGGACACAATCAGTGTGCCAGGCGCTCAGCATCGCTCAGCATCTCATCGCATTTTTGCTGCACTCAAGATTTAGCAGTTAAACATCCTCTTGTACCTCATGAGAATTCGAGTGAAACTTCTGGGCACTGTGGTCCAATCATGAGTCTTCCTCGTGATCCTGGCCACTTGGCCAATATAGTCCTCATCCTGCCATGCGGCAAAGCCTTATTTTGTAGAGTGTGGGCAGTCAGCTAGAACAGTGAACTACATAGCTAATGAACTTCCAAGCACCACAATTCGATGCCAAGACACACAGGGGATTTAGTGCATGTGCGGATGTATTGCATTGGCGATGAAACTCATGCCTCAAAGAGGGATCGCTGGGACCACTTGTTCCCTGTGCATCCTACATTTTGCACGCGTGTGTACCGAGCATATCCCCCGGTGTAAGTGCCAAGATGCGCAACATGCTCATGCATGTGCAGCTTAGGCTTGACGCGGAACAAGACCCACCGGCGATCCGTGGACATAGAGGCAAGGCATCCATACCCCTCCTCACGCACACAATATAGCAAAAAAACTATACCAGCGCAGTAGTGCAGCAAGCACATGTACTAGCTCTATTTAAATTTTAGAACTATCTTAGTCCCAGCATCTGTCAACCCCCATGCCATTGGAGCCACCCCTGCACCAATATGCGAAGGAATGAAAATGCCATGCTTGTACAATTCCCTGAACCATATGTTTCCACAGTCGGCCGTGTATTTGAGCACGTCGAAAAGTCCCGATGACTCTGGTCCTAAGAGAGTGGAATCGAATTTGCATGGCCTGGACAAAGAAACACGGCAAGCTAACATGCAACTGGAACTCCAATGAATCAGGTTGGCATTGGCCGCAAACAAAGGAAAGCCACTTGTGAACCACAATGCAGTCATGCCCCTTTCCCGATAGCACTGGGTATTGTTGCAACCTAGGATATTCCCAATGGATCAACAACACTGGCCTCACATGCACATACACCTCACATGCATAGCTTCCATCACAGCTAGCTCTTGTTGCCAAGAAACGAAGTCACCTTTAGTGAACGAAGTGTGAAATCTTTCACCTGCACATGTTGCTTAGCAAAGTAGCACCATTCAGTGAAATGGTCATGGGCTCGGTCAAGACGAGCTGGCATGGTGCCTGCGCCAAAAACACCGAGCCTGCACAGAGCGACGATGGCGCTTGCACAAAAATCTTTTCCGGCCCCTATAGCCCAGGTATGAGCTAGATCAACTCGAGTCCTCATAGGACACTCTGCACCAGGAAGGTTTAGCAAAAGTGACCTGTTCCTTTTCCACGGTAACGGAGTATTGACAGGGTCCCAATTGTGAAGGCAGGACTTCTTCTCACCGAATGTCCACCAATCCTAGGCAAGAGGTGCACTTATTCCAACATGAGGCCTTCCACTAAAAGCATGCACTTAACAATCGATGCTTTTTTTGTTTTCCACGCGTGTGCACGAAAAGTATAGTCAGGTGTTTGTTTCCGCGCACATGTGGCACAATCTCTTGGAACGAAACCCACTGGCCAAATTCATAATCTTTCTCAAATAAGGCCAATCGCCTTTACAGCCCAGGTAGATGAATCGGATGGTGTGTCCTTTGACCTGGAGCCGGGGAGCCCAAGCGGAACATTGGTGATTGCGTCAAAGAAACGCACTATGGATCTAGCCTGGACACCCTCGTAGAAGCAGTCTTTCAAATCATCTACCATAAACCTGTTCATGTCATCCAGAGTTTCGTCTTTCGAGGTCATCAACTGGCTGGGCATGATGGATGCCAATAGTCTTGTAGTAAAGGAGTGCCTTAAGAGCAAAACACTTGAAACCAAACGCTTGTGGTAGGTACTCTTGCAATCATATCAAATCGATTTGCTTAGCTAAGGTACCCTTTCATGTTGGTCTCGCCCAATCCTTCCTGGGGGATGATCATTTGGTAGGAGGTGATGAGGACAGGCCGCTTGGCCTTCCCACGGCCCTCATCACCATGTAGGCAATATGGCACAAGGCTCCCCCACGAAGATTCGTTGAAGTTCTGGTACACCGGATGGTTGCCATCTAGCTTGAAATAGCGCTCCCAAAATAATCTGAAGGTTTCTTCATACCCATGGTCCTCCAGGCTATGCCCTGCCAGCAAAAACTTGGGTGAGTGTTCCAGAAGGTACTCCGCCCAAGACTTCAAACCAATCATCGGGAAGTTCTTCTCAACTTGTTTCAATCTCGGTCGACGTTCTAGAACGCGAAGTTTCACAGTCGACACTTTCACCGGCAAAACCTTCTTAGTACGGTTGATCCAGGCATGGAAGTTCCAGGACACGTTCCGGAACTTCTTCTTGGAAGTAGGTCCAGCTCTGCCAATCTCATCTAATAGAGGATCAGATGCTCCTCAAATGCATTCAAGCCAAACAAGACACTTCCGACCCCCCGAAGGCCAAAAGATGCAAACGTGTAGAACAACATTTCCAAAGACGTAAGGTTCCTAGTGAGCGCATTCTCTTTGCTGTCACTCTCGCAAGCCGTACCACTCGATGAGCAGATTCAGCCTTTCGCTACACCCCAGAGATTTCAACATATATATTCAGTGAAATTCAGTTCGAACTCTAAACATTTTCAGGATCTCTTCATGTTGCTTCCAAATGACTCCATCCTCAAACCCATGAACTAATTCAGCAGCAAGATCCGAAGTAGTCCCATCAGAATCGGATTCTGCTGCATCTCTACCTGCAGCTACAATGTATACTAAACATCACCCACTCACTCACACCATCGCCGCATTGCTGAGGTTCTAGCTTTGCTGGTCTTTCTTCTTCGCGTCCACATCACCAGGAAATGCACCTGCGTGGGAGCTCTAGTACTAGTAAAGTTTCTACTATGGCATTAGATGGGAAGTGTCCAGTGCAGAAGGGTGAAAAAAACTTAATGCGGACTCTTGCACAAGGGTTTTCCTCTTAGGGCCACTCCTGAGTACAAGCCACGTGTTCCCCCACGAAGCTTTACAGCAAGCGGACAGTCAACATATCAGTTGACAGTGAATTTCGAAAATCTCAAGCTAAAGCATATCGATCACTCCTCCTGCGAATCTCGGGCAGCGCGAGCTTTTGCTTTGGCCTTGCCTTTGGCTTTGGCCTTCCCCTGCGCTTTCGCCTTTGCCGCAGGAGGAGGCAACTTTGGCGGGGGTCTCACAGCAGCTGCCTTTGCCGAAGGCTTTTGAACATTCCTGGCGGGGATATGCTGGGAGAAAGGGCCAGTAAGGAAAAGCTTGCCGGGTTCCGGGCATGAGTGCTAACCCTTATTCCCATTCCCGCCCCCCTAAGGTCGACAGTTGGGCCCAAACATGATAAGCATGCAAGATTGACTTGGAACGCTGCAGCAAGTTGTTCAGGACAACATCCTTCTTGGTAATCTCCACAGTCTTTGTGGTCAGGCTTTTCAAGTCACACCTAGATTGAAGATATGTGACCCACGTGTCTCCCAACGCATGCATTTGTCAGCTTGGAACAGGTCAACGCACGGATGAATGAAAACATGAAAACCATCGGGCACTTTCCGACCATGGCTTCAGCTTGAAAGGCGGCCATCTCATCGTAGAAGGCGGACATCTCCGAGAGGACTGAGCTGATCTGGTTGGCCATCCTGGGTGTGGAGGAACTACTGATTGATCTCACTAGTATTTCATTCGTGCATGCATGAAAAACATGGATTCTTGCATGCAAGAAGCTGAAGCGCTCGAGGAAAGCCCTTCTCTTTCAATTTTTCCTGCCACAGCTAAACATATTGTTGCCCTAGCGCTGCATGCGTAAACAATCCACGAACATAAAGCGACAAAGTCCTTCTCACGCTCAGCCTTGTCGATCTTTTGACCCAATGTGTCCAAAAAGGTTGGGATCACAGCAAGAGATGAGGCATTCTCTTGCACGGCCGGAAAGACAAGCCTTAGCCCCACTGGCATGCATGTGGACAGGCCTAGAGGGAAGCATGGAATCATTCTGAATCATTGCACATATATGCAAAATAGGAACTTGAAAGAAGCACAATTTCCCTTCAGCATCTCCGTTTGATAGGTGGGATCATCCGTTTGGTCAATCTCCGGCAACAAACGCGCATGGGATTCAGGCACCATGTCACTGTCAAGAAGTGATCCCGTGGGGTCCTACACAGGCAGCCCTGTAAACCACCAAAATTATAGATAACCTTTGGCTAGACTGCTCGACAATTGAACTGAAGGGTCCTCCATCTCAAAGGCTCCTTGCTGTTGCGATTCAAACCCCTGTTCATCGCTATAAGCAAAACTGTCGTCCAATACTATGCATATTTCTTCCTCACCGTGGATCGTGTTTTGCCTCCACAGATTCCTCTGTTTGGCCCATTGCCATGCTCGGTCGACCATCGCCCTTAGCGTGATTTGGAACCCCGAAAGCCATATAGCATGTACACGGATGCGCATGTGAACATAGCTGCAAAAATAAGCTCAAACTAAGTTGCTTTGTCCATCCACGTTGTGTGAGCAAGTACTGTCGGGTCACCCATTGCCCCTCCTTTTTCTTCTGCATGGTAACCTTCTGCCATTTCTTGATTACACACTCAACGGTCTCAAAGTTGCCATGGGTCTTAATGAGCTCCTTGAGTTTCTCCCCTTAGCTGTAGTCACTAGCTGTATTCAAATCACACATTAAAAAGGGATGGATGATTAAGTAGAAGATATATAGCAACACAAGTGGCTCCCCTCTGGTGTCTTCCACATTTGCAGAACCTCCGGCGATGCAAGGACCTCCTTGGCCTTTCCCTTGGGTTGGACGTAGCGCCAAACCCTTAGCATCAAGGAGGGCGATGGGATGGAGTGGTGGTGAGAGAAAGAAACATGTAAGAGCAACACCCATACTATAATAGTCACGAAACTTATGATAGTACTTGTCGTAGCCATCTGATTTTGTACGCTTGGCAGGAGGTTCGTCGGTGTCGGGTTCAGTAGGAGCTGTTGCACTCTCCTTGGACTTGTTTTCATCTCCCTTGAACAGCTCGCGAGCCATCGGCTGGGGTAAGCCGCCACCCTGTGAACCCTCAGCTTCACGTGGAGTGAACTGCACTGTCGATAGTGATGGGGTGTACTTGCCACCATGTGGACCCTGAGCATCATGCGGCCATTCAAAGGAAGGGCTTGACCTCACAGTTCTTGGAGCGACCGCGGACTTGGAACCCAAGCTCTCCAATCGAGGCGTTTGGAAACCCTTGGGAATAGGAGCAACCTTCCTCCCAGCCAAGAAGACTCCATCTCGATCGGACAGCTGCAGTTGTCCTAATATGGTTGATGCACAAAACGTACCAGCTTATATATAAACAAGGGCACAATAAAACATTTTTTTGTCTATATACCCTGACCTGGTTGCACTGCCCCCTCTGCCGCCAAATCCTTCAAAGGCCTGGATGGAGCAAGGCCTTCGGTGATCTCCTGGATCTTGCGCTTAGTTTCCTCAGGCACATCGCTGCGTCACAGAGAGGTGGTTCCAAAACAGACTACCCATGGCATATTGGTATATCATGCGTTCATGGTGCGTGCTTACAAAAATACTGCAGGCAAAAATCATGAATGAGAAGGTCCAAATCCACGGATGGTTGAGGGGTGCCAGTGCATTGTGACTGTGCCATGGCCATGCCGTTCTCCACTGACGAGCAGCTCCACTGGCGAAGTGCCATTATTTAATACACTGATAGCTTGTTTGGCTGAAGATCCAAAACATATACAATATCGCATGAACATGCATGGAATGAGTCATGCATAGGTGACTGACTAAGCCGATCCCAATGGAGGACCTTTGACTTCCTCTTCATGACCCATTCATTCAATTTACCCAGTCCCTCCACGCCCAATGACAAAGAAACGCCAGATATCAGCAGAAAACCCTCAACAAACTAGTCAAGGTGACTTCTGAAAAGTACTGATTTTATTTTTGCGGACGTTTGTGGAAATTTGCGCGCGTTCGTGGGGTTTTTGCGGACGTTTCGTGGATCAATTTCCGCGCGTGCCATCCCCCAACACCTGCTCAATCCACATCGATCACAAGGTTGGGCGAGACAACCTCCATGTCTTCGGGCTGGTTCTGTGTCTCCTGGAGGCGTCAAGGCAAGCAGGGCCGGGCTGCAGTAGTAACGTGTAGCAACCACCAATCGAACTAGTGCATAAAGCAAAAATGTACATATCGGATCAAGGGGCCACAAGAGAGACAAGTTGATTTTTGAAGGTTTCCATGGTGCTTTGCCAGGAGTCTGGAATGCAAAGGGGACTACATCCGTATAGGTAAAAGAAGGTTTCAGCAAGGCTGGCATCAAACCATTGGTCATCAACCAGTGGGTACACCTCAAAGAGCTGGCGGTCAGTCAAAGTTTCATCCAACTCATACTTCTTACGAAGATCACGCCGGAAAGGGCCCTTGCACGACTTGAGGTAGCTCTTCAACAGGGCATGTCCAACTCCAGGAGGGTATTGCCTGAGTATTAGTGGCATAATATTATCAGTACTATATATACTGCAAATGATCTAGTGCACACTAGTGCTACAAAGTCGCTGTGACTGTTTGAGCTTGTCTGTTCCGACAAACTTCTTTTTGCCCTCTTTGTTGGTGTAAGTACCTTGGTCAAACCCATGGCTAGTATATAAACTTGAAAGGTCCTGAAAAACAGACAATCACATATATGTAATATGAGGTGCGTGTCGTTTTATCTTCCGGGTTTTGTCGACAAGGGTGGGACTTGGATAGTTTACCCAAATCCATCTCTGCAATCAGTCGATCGTTGCTCCAGACCATTGTCCGTTTTGGACTCTTGCTTCCCAGCAAGCCCATCCAAAAGGGCTGCTTGTAGACCTGGGGTGGCAAGGTAAAGGGGTCCGATGCACCGGTGGAACTGCGACATCATTGGCGGCCAAAGGGACTGTGGCCACAGCATTGCACAAGTATTCAAAGCGGTAGTGCCGGAAAAGAAGTGAATGAACTGGATTCTCTATCACGAATATGCACCGCTTGGCCAAAACCACAAAGCATACGATCACCAGCCTCAGGCTCTTTAGGGAAGTGAGTGAGGTGTGTGTAGGTGTTGAAAGGAGGCCCAAACAAAAGGACACTTGCAGCTAGAAGACCTGCTTATCATGCGGTTGCCAATGTCCACAAACGTGTACTGGGTATTCCCTTGGTAATTAAAATATGTCCGACCAGCTGTTCCGCGGCATGGAATTCCCCAGCTAGAACAATCTGGTGCCATGATATTGATGGCATTCTCCACTTCGTAGAGCACAAGGTTCAAACAGGTCCTGAGCTCACAGTTCCATATCCAGAAAATAACGTGTTGGGGTGTCATATGGTGTCATGCAGTCTAGATTCACCAACCCTGCAGGGGTCATGAAGTCCATCCCCGGGGCTTCTGTGTCAAAGCACTTGTCCAGGGCCACACATTTGAAGCCTGCCTGGTGCCTCAGGAAGTGGACACTGGATGGATGGGGGCAGTCGTGGCTATAGATATAATATACATCTTTCTTGGCCCCCAAACCACACTTTTGTGGTCGCTGCTGCCCCAGCAAACAACTCAAAGAACTGCACGTCCTCAACCCTTGAGAAGCTGCACCATCCGAGGAGTAAGACCTAGGCTGCAGATGGGGATTGGCAGCTTGAGAAATCGCTCATGATTGCTATTTTCTAAGGGGCTGGCTATAGCGACCAAAGTCTTGGGAACCCCAAGCTCCATAAGATTGAAAGGCACAGAGGTCATGGCAAACGTGCTTGATGCGATGTGGAGCAGGCAAAAGCTACAAAAAAAGTCAAAAATGTGATATCACCAATCCTGCAAAAAAGACCACTTGCGAATACCAGTTCAACTCAAGACAGATCAGTTTGAAGAGAGGTGGCACCTGCCCGCATTGCCCGGCACATCCAGGCTGGACATCCTTTGCCCATCGCCTGGGGGAAGCCTGGCGCACAGAGTGGGTGCGAGGATGTAGGTCGACCCGGGTGGGTCCAGGGTTTGGAATATGCCATGGGAGGATGAGGCCATGAGATGCACTTGCCTGCAAGTGGACAATGGAAATAAAGCTCGGAGTTTTCTGTTTTTCATCTGTTGGTGTCTTGGAGCTTTCAGGTCAAAGCCCTGCCATGTATGTGACAAGGATCCATCTATATAGGTGCATGGCCCGCAAGAGGCTTAAGCCACGCGTGCGTGATTGTGCAAGTGCATACTTGCTAAATGAAAACCCGATCATTCATCACTTAAGTGAATGATGTTCCCCAGTGAGCTCTCAGCTGCCACCGCAGTTCCGGTATGCCTCAGATCGTGATGAAACGCGTTGGCTGGTGTCCAGCTGTTTGGAGGTTTGTCTGTACGTTACACGAATGATTCAGTTTCAGTCGTTTGGGCGGTTGCTTAGTTGGGTCCAGTCACTGCTCGAGCTTCTTCCCTTGCCTCCTCCTCATCTTTGCCGGAGTTGATTGCCATGTTGTAGGCTTGCTTGTAGGCACAGCACTGCTTGGATCTTTTCTGCCTCTTCAGGGTGTTTGGGCTAGGATCCCTCTCCGAAACACCATCAGCACCTTCGGTCTTCTCCTTTGGGCTTTCCTGCACTTTTCTCTTCCTTCCTTGCTCCTTCTCTTCCTTCTTTGCATCATCGCTCTTCTTGCCCTTCTGTGATGCTTTCTCCTTCTCTTCCTGTGACTCTGCTGCTTTCCTCGTTGAGGTCTTCGTCCTTTTTGAATTCCCACCTTCAATGGCCTTCTGCTCCTGTTCCTTTGTCTTCCCAGTCTTCTTTGTCTTTGGCTCCTTGGTCGGTTGTTTTGACTCCTTGTCCTCCTCTTCCTTGTCCTTCTGCGACTTCTTTGGCTTCTTCGACGATGTATCGGGCTTTTCTGCCTTCGTCCTCTTGGCTTTCACCTTCTCATTCTCTTCCACCTTTTCCTCCTCTCCCTCCTTCTTTTCTGCCGACGCCGATGCCTTGAATTTCTTGGCCTTCGGTTGGTCCTGTAGCTCCTTCTGTTCTTTATTGGGGTGCTTGTTGGTCTTCTGCCTTTTTCCTGTTGGCTTCTCGCCCTTTGCCTTTGCCTTAGCTTTGGCTTTGGCTTTCGCTTTGGGCCTGCCAGGTCCTCCTTTCTTCTTCTGCTCATTCTCCTCAACATCCTGGTTGTCATCTTCATCCTCGCAATCATCTGCAGAGCCACCCTTTCTCTTCTTCTTCTTTGCTGCTTTTGGCTGATCATCTGGAGCAACAGGCTTGTGCTCATCAAGAGCTTTTGGTCGCGCAATCGGCAATGCGTTCTCGCCTTCTTTGCCCTTCTCCCCGTTCTCCGCACTCTCTGATTTCTTCTCCTCCTCAACCTTCTTTTCACTCTTCACCTCCTCAACCTTCTTTTCGCTCTTCACAGGACTCTCTTGGGTCTCCTCGATCTTCTCTTCACTCTTCACTTCATGCTCCTCGGTCTTCTCTTCTGGTGTCTCCTCTGCCCCGTTTGTCTCGATCTCTTGAGTCTTCTCCTTTTCAGTCTTCTCTTCAGTTTCAGCCTTTTCTTCAACAGCCGTCTTGTCCTCAGTCTTTCCTTCTGCAGTTTTCACCTCAATTGTTCCTTCAACAGCTGTTTTCTCCTCAGCCTTTTCTTCAACAGCCTTTTCTTCAGCCGCCTTCTCTTCTCTCTTCTCTTCACTCTTCTCGCCAGTCTTCTCCTCAACGTTCTTTTCCTCAGCTGTGGCTCCAGTCTCCTCCTCAACCCTCTGTTCAGGTACCATAGCGCTTTCTTCTGATTCCTTGGGTTCGGAAGGCTGTTGTACCATTGGAATCTCCGTGCCATTTGTGTCCTCCTTCTTGTCGTCTTTCTGTTCAGGCGTTTCTTGTCCAAGAACCAATGTCTGTGCACGAAGGAGTTCTGATGTAGAGCGTCTGGAATCTTCCTCCTGGCTATGGATGAGATTGTTTGGTGGCTCGAGCACTGAACACGCGCGTATAGATATAATAGGCAATAATAAACAACAGGGTCCTTGGCAGCGATGGCAGTCGCTTCAGCTGCTGCCTCCGCCACTTCTGTCAAATCCATCACTTGGGTGTCCATGTTATCGATACCTGCGTGCAAAACATGTTCACATATAAGGTTCCTCGAAGTACTAGTTTTGAATGAATCGCCAATCACTTAGGTTGGTACCCTGCGGTGGATGTGAAGGCGGTGGCGGAGGAGGCATGGATTGGCGACGACGCTCGTCCACATCTTTTTGAAGCTGAAGCAACTGTAACTTCTTCTGTAAATCATCTAGAAGTTGCATCTTTGAAAGTTGGGCCTTTTGGAACTCCAATGTTTGGTTACTCTTGGGCTCGGGTGTTGAAGTGCATTCAACCGACTTCAAAGTTTCCATGTCACAAGCAATCATCCCACAAATCTGGCATTCGAAACCATCCTTCGATCTCCTGACCAGGCCGTGGATGTTCTTCGTGGCCAAGTCCAAGATCTGTGGCGTCGAGATACCTGTCAGCTGTCGACTAACGTGGGGGAACCCAGATCTCTGCTATCCATGAAAGGGATATGAAACCACCAGGCCTGAGGATGCCGGGGTTCCATCGACAGATGTAGGTGCGCCTAATGCATGCACAGGAATTCTGAATGGTCTTAGCCCTTAGCTAAAAATAGGAAAGCTGAGGATGGGGCGGGTAGCTGGAGTGCTTGGTTCTGCCTTCTTCAAGTTCAGGACAGGATCAATTGCGGGTACCTCCCAAACACAAATTGGCCAATGTATCGTATATATCGATGACGTCGGATGACTTACTTGAACACCTCTGGCCTCAACTTCAGCATCCACCTCAAGCGCCTCCTCTTCACCTTCCTCCCAGTAACCCTCGTAGTCATCAGCAGCTTCCGTGGCAGGTGCATCCGGGCTCAGGTCGGACGTTGAACCTTACATCAGTCAAGTCCCCCCGCAGTGGCCATAAGGATCCACCTACCAAACTTTATTGCCATCAACTCTTGAGTTCATCCCAGCCACCGCCACCCTCTGGAAGATCCACCCCGGCACATACGTAGAGCTCCCGCATGGCCGATTCCCGAGGAATATGAGGTCTCCGAGCAGCTCGTCCAAATTCAGTGATCAAGTTTCTCAAAGCCCAAGTGTGCATCTTGATCACTCCACCTTGGGACCAGTTTTGAGGGCCGTAGGTGTTGAAATAGATCTGCATGAATTCAACACGTACTTCTGATTTTGAGACTAGCACGTTCCACAGGAGGCTTGTGGGCTGGCCGGTTTGCCCAAAAGAACTCATCGACATGCTCCATGATGATTGAGATTGTTGGGCGCAAGCCTGGGATTGGATAGGATCGGTGTGGGGGATGTTAGGAATCAGGGAAATAACCAACAAACAATATCTTCACTTAAATGTTGACTCTTTTCCAAACAAGAAGCCAACTTCACATATCAAAGGCCCCAAGACAGTTGCGTTGTTGACGACATCTCTCCTGTTCACTGGGCCTTTTTTTGAAGTCGAAAAGACCACCAGGTGCCCCTTGGCCGCACCGGCAACCAAGTAGTCAAAAGAGCTCCAAGCTTCAGCCACTTTAGATCTGAAAGAGTATTGCTTTTGCAACGCTGTGCTGTTCTCTCTACCCCCCATACTGCAAAGCGATAGGAGGCAGGTTGAAGGCAAGACCGCTGGGGAAGTTGAGAGCTTAAAGTGAGCTGCAATCCCAACTCAGAATTGCCACACGTGCAACATCGAATGAATGGTTTGCCATCAAACTCATGCCAGTAAGGCCAGCCAGGATCACCAAAGGAATCTGCAAAGGGCCTCCCCAAAACAAACAACATGTCCTGATCTACAGATCATTTGTTTAAGAAGTGTGTTTGGCCTCGTATAGGATCAAGATGATCCTCCCACCAGAGAGCACCTGCGTGCCAAGTGCACCAGCCAAGGCACAGTTGTGATCCTTCTTGCTTTGCGTGCACAAAACACACATGCATAAGGCACCTGGTCCAACCCCAAGACCAAAGGCGCCCTCTGATCAAGCCAAAATGGCTCAAGATCAAAAAACGCTCGACCCTTCAAAATCAGTACGTCCTGAGATCAAGGTGGAATTCTGTTACAAACAGGCCAGGTCCTTTTTTTTAAGTGACGTTTGAAGGTGAAGGTATATATATAAGATCATGCACCAGCTGGGGAACAACTGATGGCAAGTACTGCAAGTACTATGGGAGTGCAAGTGGCACTTGCACCCCGAAACAGTGTTTCAGAACGAGAAAACTCACCCTTGCTATCCCTTGCTATGGTTCACACACCTCGAGTACCAGAAAGCTGCCCATGTAGTGGTGCTTGAGAAGTACTGTTGATGGACGGAAACATGCGGTGAGGAATGTTGGAGCGTCCCTGGAACATTGGACCTTGTTGATCTTGAATTTCGCCAGCCCAAGTGATGGGCGGGTTGTGCACAAAATAGATCCAATAACATCTTTTGTCTCCTGTGCTTTCCTGTGCTGTATTATAGGGAATTACCAGCAGATGGCATCAGTAAACACGTAGCCATGTGACACATGTTCAGGAAGGAAAACATCAAACACCATAGGGGAACTCATTGGCACAAACAGATGGCAACTTGAGCTGACGGTAGCCTTGCCCCTCGAAAGATACAGTACTTGGTTGGGATTGCTGCAACATTTGGCTGGCACATATACACTGAACAAACACCACGTGCTTGCACATCACAAGAAAGGTAGACTGGATCTTAGTGGATCATGCCTAGCTCGCTGCAAGATTTCGCAATCTTCAAGCATTATTGGGGTTAACAAGTCAATGGCATGGGGAGGGGCCCTATGATATGCCATCCACTTGTGAGTTTAGGCCGCTTCCATGCCATCTATCCCACCGCTACAGAAATGTGGAACATGTATAGATGGCGTACATGACAAACACCCAACAGCATTGCAAAACATGTCACAATGTCAGCAGATGTGGCTTTATTTGTTTGGATCTTTGGATGTCGTTTTGTAAGAATGTGCACTGTTTGATGGCATTTGGTGTCCATCACGGCAATGTTCGGCTGTGTGCCAAACGTTGGTGATAGACGTGACGTCTAGAAGGAGGTCCAATGGGCTCCCGCCCCACTGCGAAGGCTGTGGCTGCACGCGACTGTCCAGAGCAAGATTTGGCCCCCTGGGAGCAGGCAGAGTTTACCTGTGGCGCCTTGGCAGCGGTTTTGTCCCGGTCGTTTTGGTCCAAAACTGCACGTGCGGACCACATGTCATTAAATGTCTCATAATTAGAGGCCGGACGCCTGCTTCGCAGATCGACTTGGCAAAAATGCAGCCCGTCATGCTCGGGATGTTCGACTTGAAGTAACCAACATGTCCGAGTTGCCTTGGAGGCCCTCATGTGCTGCGGATGTTCCAGGCGCGTCCGGGTAGGGAAGGTTTTGGCCCCAGGCCATAGATGTATTTTTGGAAGGGAAAGGGTGCCCTGAAGGGAGGAAAGCAAGTCATTGTTGGTATTGATTCTTCCAACGGTTGGTGGTCCAGTGGTCGGGAAGAATATGGTGGATTTGTCTCAAACTTGTGTGGGGATGCGAGGAGAAGGTTGACGGTGCCGTTTTTTTCTGTTTTTTCTCGACAGTAGCAATTTTGAAAGGGAGGGCTGGTCAGTGATCATGAGACACATCCGTGCTTCGAAATGGTGGCCGTGCACAAGAGCTACAGTAAAGTGGTGTACGTTTGTACGGCAAGGTTGCCCCACCAGAGCATTGAAGGGACAAAACCAAGGGCCTTGTTCGAGTCCAAAAAGGGCTAGAGCTGAACACACACACACACACACGACCAAATCTGACATGGTTTGTGTAAGAGGAGGCATTGTTCCGGCCAGATGAACTCGAAGGCTTCTTGACATGACCTACGTAACCGCCACCACCACCAAGCGAACAGCACCGTCGATCTAATTACTTACTTGGACATTGAGACCTTCACATTATGGCAAACAACCCCAAATGAACATGACTAGAAATTGAAATCAATGACGGCTATATAGTTGGACTTTCTCAACTCGTTCTGTGGTTCCCTTCGTTCTGTGGTTGCCCCTTGGTGTTCAGCATCCCACTCCTTAAGGTTCAACCACCATGGCTTGAAATCGTTTTCAACCAGGTTCCCGGGAGGCAGTATCCCCTAGCACTCAAACACATCCTCAGAAGGTGGTTGAGGTGGGTGCCAGGGGGGTCTAACCGCCTTCTGAGGATATGGGACAGGAGCCCTAGGGATCTTACACACTTATGCTGGGACCCTCAGTTTCCGCTTCAGGAACGACAACTGCTGCAACTTGGCAGGGCATGGGGCCACGTGTCTCGGTCGGGTCCTCCAACCACTGAGATCCATGGAGCCTATGAATTGGCTTGATTTAGCTGTTCAAGGCCCGGGGAGTCTTTGCAAAGACTATGTTCGTTGGCAACCCCAGTGGTGTGGGGGATCCATTGCATGGCTAATGTGTAGGACGGTACCTCTCAATGGGACCTGAATTTTCGGAGGCTCTGTGAAAGGAGTGAAAGGGAGGTCCTGGATTGAGACAACCTGAGTTTACCATAGTTTACCCAGGACCTCCGAGGACCTTTCTGTTTGTAGGTTTTGTAGCTGACTTCCACTTTCCTCACCCAGCTCCACAAGATTCCACCATATCCCGTCATTTTTCAGCCATTCCGAATGGCTTCACCCAGCCAATCCTCCGGTCAAAGATCCAGCCGAGGTGTTGGGACCCCATGGATCCCGATTGCCCCGGCAGCCGAGACTTGGACGCGACGTGTTGGGACCCGGTTTGTCGCGAGCGGCCGAGAACCACGGGGGGCGTCCCTGTTGTGCGGGTTCTCGCGAGAGGAAAAGGCTAAAGGGGGTGGTCATTCCCACCAACTTCGTTCAAGACACGTCTTCTAACTACCGGCGTTCATCAATAAACAGCCTTCTTTGATTAGGTCACCCTAGATGTCGATGGACCGAACGCCCTGCCAACTGTAATTGGATATCATGAGAACAAGCCCAGCCACGATTTGTTTTCTTTTTTAAAAATACAGTTGGCATGTATGGGGATTGTGTTTCAGGCCAAGGGGCCTTTCACCCTTGGTGCCGCACTTGTGCAGACCACCTTCGAAGTGAACTTTGAAAAGACACTGGAACTCGGGCATAGAGCCGTAGAGCTGGAGAAAACGACACCATTCGCGGGCGGTTTCCCTGCAAGCTCACTCAAGACCACGAGCAATTCCGGGGGGGGCCAACCCGGCCCTTTTGGATCCGATCCCATCGCGGAAATCACATCACGGACGGACGGAGTCGGTCGGTCCGTCGGACCGGAGAGTCACGTGAACGTGACTCCACTGCGATGTCCGGAGCTCCGGGCGCTCCACAGCGAATCAGGCTACATGAGCGAGTTCCCCGGTGTGAAGTATGGCATTTATATTCCGCCCCTGGGGTGGCACTGTGGGTGTGACGTTCGCAGGGGGATTGCACTCTTCCGAACCCGGCTGAGTGGGAAGAAGTCTCGCTCGTTACACTCCCGAAAACCAATATAGACCCTGACGATGGTCCCATGGAAGACGATTTTCCTCTACCAACCAGGGGTTTTCAGGTTCCATGTCAGTCTTCCAGGGTGTAGGCCAAATGGGGGTTGTGGTGAGTGGTGACTCATGGACATCGGCATGGTCCTTCGGGCAGAGTTTATCCCTCCATGCCACCAAGCTCTTGTTACCTGTTTCATTTTGTCTCATTGAGTGGATTGAGAGTAGATGGCACAGACCCCAATGTCGGTGGTGACTGAAGTCTGCCCCATCTGTCTAGGACATCTTGAGGTCTGTGGCATCAAGTCTTGAAACCATTGTAATATGTGGCCACATGTGACCACCTTCAGACGTCCCCTGTCCGGCCCGGCACGGTCTGTGCTGCCCAACGATTCTGGTCGTTTGAGACCGAGAGCGACTGCACTGCTCGGCGCTTTGGGGGTTGGCTCTTCGAAGTGGTCCCCTTTTGACACCGTAAAGGCCAATAGAATCGATCCGAAGGGACGAACCGGGCCATCTTTTGATGGCCTCCACCTGACACTTGACCACCTTGGTCATATGATGTCATATGATGTTCTATGTAATAACATGTCTAATGACTATA